GAAGCCAGCCCGGGCAGGAAGGTCCGTGAGCCACAGAGAACAGCGGGAACAGCGCCGTGGCTCAAGCGGTCGAGCGCCCGCCATGAGCACAGAAAAACGAGGTGAGAATGTGAGGCGCTGAGCTCGGCACAGGGAGAGGAGGAGGAGGAGGAGGAGAGGAAGAGGAGGAAGGGGAGAGGAGGAAGGGGGGAGGAGGAAGGGGGGAGGAGGAGGAGGAGGAGGAGAGGAGGAGGAAGGGGGGAGGGCTGGGCGGTGGCCGGGCACCGTGCTCCCCTCGTGAACCACCACAGACAAAGACAGAAGTGGCGCCGTGGCTCGGGTGGTCGAGCGCCAGCCTGGAGCCAGAGAAGCTCAGGGACAGACAGCGCCCAGGCCCCGAGTTCAAGACCCAGGATGGGGAAGGAGGGAGGAAGAAACGGAGGAAGGGGAGAAGAGGAAAGGAGGGAGGGAGGGAGGGAGGGAGGGAGGAGGGAGGAGGGAGGGAGGAGGGGAGGGAGGGAGGAGGGAGGGAGGGAGGAGGGGAGGGAGGGAGGAGGGAGGGAGGGAGGAGGGAGGGGGGGGAGCTCAGGGGCCGCAGCGCATCTGCGCAGTGGGTGTTTGTGGACTTGAACCCAAACCCGCCTGCTCCCCCAGCGGCGCTGCCTGGACCAGGGGGAGGCCACGGAGGAGGGGGGCATCTCGGTCTGGTGTGGGGGGGGCATCTCGGTCTGGTGGGGGGGGGGCATCTCGGTCTGGTGGGGGGGGCATCTCGGTCTGGTCTGGTGTGGGGGCGCCTCGGTCTGGTGGGGGGGGCATCGGTCTGGTGTGGGGGGGCATCTCGGTCTGGTGGGGGGGGGCATCTCGGTCTGGTCTGGTGTGGGGGCGCCTCGGTCTGGTGGGGGGGGGCATCGGTCTGGTGTGGGGGGGCATCGGTCTGGTGTGGGGGGGGCATCGGTCTGGTGTGGGGGGGGCATCTCGGTCTGGTGGGGGGGGGGCATCTCGGTCTGGTCTGGTGTGGGGGCGCCTCGGTCTGGTGGGGGGGGCATCGGTCTGGTGTGGGGGGGCATCTCGGTCTGGTGGGGGGGGCATCTCAGTCTGGTCTGGTGGGGGGGGCATCGGTCTGGTGTGGGGGGGCATCTCGGTCTGGTGTGGGGGGGCGCATCGGTCTGGTGGGGGGGGCATCTCAGTCTGGTCTGGTGGGGGGGGCATCGGTCTGGTGTGGGGGGGCATCTCGGTCTGGTGGGGGGCATCTCGGTCTGGTGTGGGGGGGGCATCTCGGTCTGGTGTGGGGGGGGGGCATCTCGGTCTGGTGTGGGGGGGCGCCTCGGTCTGGTGGGGGGGGCATCTCAGTCTGGTCTGGTGGGGGGGGCATCGGTCTGGTGTGGGGGGGCATCTCGGTCTGGTGTGGGGGGGCGCATCGGTCTGGTGGGGGGGGCGCCTCGGTCTGGCCCGTGGGAGTTGGGGTGCGGCACCTCGATCTGGTCGATGGTCTCCTGGTACTCCTTCTCGCGGGATTTGAAGAGCGACTCGGTGTCGGTGATCACCTTCTCCAGGCTGTCCTCCTGCGGCTGCGGGACGGCCACGTCAGGGTGGCGGGGGGGGGGGGGGGGGGCGGGAGGGGGCGGGGAGGACGGCGGGGGGGCGGGGGCGGGGCAGGGAGGGCGGGGGGGGGGTGCGGGGTCGGGGGGTCGGGGTCGGGGGTCAGGGCAGGAGGGCGGCCTGTGGGGTGCGGGTCGGGGGGTTCGGGGTCGGGGTCAGCAGGGCGGGCGGTGCGGGTCGGGGTCGGCAGGGCAGGCGGTGCGGGTCGGGGTCGGCAGGGCGGGCGGTGCGGTGCGGTGCGGGTCGGGGGCCCGGGGTCGGGGTCGGCAGGGCGGGCGGTGCGGGTCGGGGGTGGGGGTCGGGGTCGGCAGGGCGGGCGGTGCGGGTCGGGGGTGGGGGTCGGGGTCGGGGTCGGCAGGGCGGGGCGGTGCGGTGCGGTGCGGGTCGGGGGCCCGGGGTCGGGGTCGGGGTCGGGTCACCTCCCCCCTGGGCCTCGGCGGCCGCCATGGCGTATCCCGAGAAGTCGTCCCACAGCAGCAGCGTCTCCTCCGTCTCCTCCCAGCTCAGGCTGTCGCAGTCGTCGTCTGCGTCCAGCTCCCGCCTGGGGGGGCCGGGGTCAGCATGGGCCGGGGTCAGCATGGGCCGGGGTCAGCATGGGCCGGGGTCAGCATGGGGCCGGGGGTCAGCATGGGGCCGGGGTCAGCATGGGCCGGGGTCAGCATGGGGCCCGGGGGTGGCGGGGGCGGGGTTAACATGGGTGGGGTCAGGTCCTCGTGGGGGCGTGGATCACGGCGGGGGTGGGGGGGGGTGGGGGGGGGAGGGACGGGGCCTGGTTGACGGGGCGGGGCCCCGATTGGGCTGGGCTGGTCGGGATATGGGCGGGGGGCCGGCGGGAGGCGTGGTGGGTGGGCGGGGCCGGTGGGGCGGGGCGCTGTGGGTGGGCGGGGCCGGCGGGAGGCGTGGTGGGTGGGCGGGGCCGGTGGGGGCGGGGCGCTGTGGGTGGGCGGGGCCGGCGGGGCGGGGCGCTGTGGGTGGGCGGGGCCTGGCGTGTGGGCGGGGCGGCGCTCACAGCTGGCTGAGCATGCGCTGCATCTCCTCGGCGATGCCCAGCCCCGCGCCGTCCTCCTCCGCCTCGGCCGTGGGCCCCGCGCTCTCAGGTCCAGCGTCCTCCGCCCGCCGCTCCCGCCGCCGCCCCGCCGGCACCTGAGAGGCATCGGGAGCCGCGTCAGGGGGGGCCCGGGGGCCGGGAGGGAGGACGGGGGCCGGGAGGGAGGGGAGGACGGGGCCGGGAGGGAGGGGAGGACGGGGCCGGGATGGAGGGGAGGACGGGGCCGGGAGGGAGGGGAGGACGGGGCCGGGATGGAGGGGAGGACGGGGCCGGGATGGAGGGGAGGACGGGGCCGGGAGGGAGGACGGGGCCGGGATGGAGGGGAGGACGGGGCCGGAGGGAGGACGGGGCCGGGATGGAGGGGAGGACGGGGCCGGGATGGAGGGGAGGACGGGGCCGGGATGGAGGGGAGGACGGGGCCGGGAGGGAGGGGAGGACGGGGGCCGGGAGGGAGGACGGGGCCGGGATGGAGGACGGGGCGCACCTGCAGCATGTGGGTCACGTCGGTGCAGTTGCGCTGCTGCGCCAGGTCGCAGAGCTTGGCAGTGATGTCGATGCGGCGGCAGATGTCCATGTCCACCTTCATGGCCTTCTCCTGGATCTTGGTGTCCAGCTCGCTCAGGTTCTGCGGGGGACACGCAGGCCCGGAGCAGCGGGGGACCGCTCAGCACGCCCCCTCTGACACCTGCGGCCAGTCCCCAGCTCCCGCCTGTCATCCCAGCGACTCAGGAGGCTGAGATCTGAGGATCACAGTTCAAAGATGAGAGTCTCACAGCCCTTCCCTGCCTGGGCTGGCCTTGAACCGCGATCCTCAGGTCTCAGCCTCCTGAGTCGCTGGGATGACAGGCAGGAGCCGCCGGCGCCCAGCGTGCCTGTCTTTTTTTCTGCCATCCTCACAGATGTAGCCACGGCGGCAGAGGGCATGGTGGCGGGTAAACTGAGTCAGCACAGAGGCATTCAGCTCCCGACTCCTGGGTGCTGAACTGGCAGTGACTAATGTCACACACGCCACGGCCCGTCATGCGACGCGGGCCTTTGATTGTGTGTATGTGTGCTGGTACTGGGACTCGAGCGCTCTGACTTAGCCGAAGCTCGACCACTCGAGCCACACCTCTGAAATCAGAGCTTCTAGGACGTTCCTGCCTAGGCTGGCTTCAATAAGGGATGCTCGGATCTCAGCCTCCAGAGTAGCTGGGATTACAGGCGTGAGCCACCACACCCAGCTCACACTCACATCTTCTGTTCTTGCTCTGTCTACTGAACTGAATGGCGTCAGGGGTGCCCGGCCAGGGGAAGGGAGGTGGACGGGGCAGCAGTGGGGCTGCCCCCTGACTGGCCGGGGCTGCAGGAGACCCCCCCGAGAGCGGGACTCACATTACTCATGAGTCCCTTGAAGATCACCAACTCAGCTTTTAACTGCTCCACCTTCATGGCCAGCTCTTCCTGGCACGCGTCGGCCTCCTGGGCTTCCTGGACCGGAGGAGACCCTGGGTTGGTGACCCCCCTCCAAGGGGAAGAGGGGGTGAGGAGGGGAGGGAGGGGGCGTCCTCACCTCCTGCAGCTCGTTCACGCGCTCCTGCAGCTGGACCCGCACCGTGTACTCCTCTTCCCACCTGACACACAGCGGGGGGGGGGGGGGGCACAGGTCCGTGTTCCCTGGGCCCCCCAGCTCCCTGCTCCCCCCCACCCCGTGGCTCCCCAGAGGGAGACTGGCTGTCCACAAGAATGTGGGGGCCAAGCCAGCGCCGGTGGCGCACGCCTGTAATCCCGGCTACTCAGGAGGCTGAGATCGGAGGTTGGAGGTTCAAAGCCGGCCTGGGCAGAAAAGGCCACGAGACTCTGATCTCCAGTGAGCCTGTGAGATGCTGGGAGTGGTGCTGTGGCGCAAGTGGTAGCGCGCCAGCCTTGAGTGAAGAGCTGAGGGACAGCGCCCAGGCCCTGAGTTCAAGCCCCAGGACAGACAGACAGACAGACACACACACACACACACACACACACGTGTGAGGGGCAGCCGCCTGCCTGGAGCCTCTCTGCCATGTGCAGGAACTATTTTTAAGAGCAGCTGCGCCTCTGGCTCCGCGCCCTGCCCTCCCACCCCGGCCTCAGAGCCACCAGCTGTCTGGGGCCCCGTGTCCCCCTCTCTGACCCACACCAGAACACCAGGCCCAGGGGAGGCGGGGGCCCCCGAGACACAAAGACGGTGAAGATGGTGAGGATGATGGTGATGACTTGGGCCATAGCAAGATTTGAACTCGGGGCCTCATGCTGGCTAGTCAGGAGGCTGAGATCTGAGGATCCACATGTGAGGCCAGACTCCTTCCTATTTCCAGGCAAAAGCACCGGGACAGCACCCAGGCCCTGAGTTCAAGCCCCAGGAGTGACACACACACACACACACACACACACACACACACACACACACACGGCCAAAGCAGCCATCAGCGAGGGTGCTGGGATCCCGCAGGACGGTGTCCCCTGCCCATGGAGGAGGCCCTGCCTTGGCCCCCCTCCCGGCCTCTCCCAGTGCCCTGCCCGCTGCTGGTTCTGCTGTGTGTCTCACTCACAGCCGCAATGCAGCTGTCCTAAGAATAGCTGCCACCGTCACCGGCCGCTCCTCCCTGTGGGGCTGGCAGAGACAGCCTGGCCAACACCCCGGGTGCTCGCCCGCAGCGCAGCGCCTGCCTGCAGTCCCCCCCCGCCCCCCCCCCCCCGCTGCTCTGCCACCGAAGGGCGCAGCAGCATGGGGCGACAGATAGATAGACAGGCAGGCTGGCAGACAAGCAGGCAGACAGACAGACAGACAGGCAGACAGGCAGGCAGACAGACAGACAGATAAAATAGGTAGATAGGTAAGTGATAGACAGACAGGCAAGTGGATAGACAGAGAGATGTCCACCCAGACAGACCGACTAACAGATAAACAGACAGACACACAGGAAGACAGGTAGACAGATGGATACAGACAGACAGCTAAGTACATCCATCCATATACGCATATATTTTCCAAAGTCCTGAGCACCAGGAGGTTGAGTTTGCTCATCTGTAGGTGAGCTTGTGTCATGGGGTACTCAATTATGCCCAGAGACCCCCCCCCCAAAACCCTCCCCAGGGGTGGGGGGGCAGCAAGATAGCGGGGTACATCAGGTAAGACAGGAAATCTTTCTCTGGCAGTGAACTCGATGGCTTCAGACGGAAACATACATGAGAAATGCTAATTATGGATGAAGATTAATGAAGTCTTACAGAACGGAAAAGAAAACTCTCAGAATGAATCATCTAGAAGCTCCCTAGGACTTTGCCTGGCTCAGGCAGACGGGTTTTCAAACAAAAAGAGGTTTACCTCCATTCAAATCGGACGCGTGTGTGTGTGTGTGTGTGTACCAGGACTTGAGCTCAGGGCTTGGGTGCTGTCTGGTGGGTGCGTGCGTGCGTGCGTGCGTGCGTGCGTGCGTGCGTGCGTACCAGGACTTGAGCTCAGGGCTTGGGTGCTGTCTGGTGTGTGTGTGTGTGTGTGTGTGCGTGCGTGCGTGCGTGCGTGTGTGTGTGTACCAGGACTTGAGCTCAGGGCTTGGGTGCTGTCTGGTGTGTGTGTGTGTGTGTGTGCGTGTGTGTGTGTGTGTGCGTGCGTGTGTGTGTACCAGGACTTGAGCTCAGGGCTTGGGTGCTGTCTGGTAGGTTTTCCTCCCCACCCCTCGAGCCCCAGCTCCACTTCTTGCTTTTCTTTCATTGGTTTATTAAAGATTAAGTCTCGCAGACCTGGGCTGGGAAGGTGGCTCAGGGGTAGAGCGCTTGCCTCGCTTGCATGAAGCCCTGGGTTCGATTCCTCAGCACCACATACACAGAAAAAGCTGGAAGTGGTGCTGTGGCTCAAGGTAGAATGCTAGCCTTGAACAAAAAGAAAGCTCAGGGACAGCGTCCAGGCCCTGAGTTCACGCCTCAGGATTGACCAACAACAACAACAAAAAAGTCTCACGGACTTTCCTGCCCAGGCTGGCCTTGGATGCTGATCCTCGAATGCCAGCCTCCTGAGTGGCTGGGATGACGAGCGGGAGCCACCCACAGTGGGCTAGAGTGGCTTGTTTTCCAAACGAAGTCACTTTGTACCTGTGCAGGACGGGAGCCATGTCTGTGCACTGGGCAGGTACTAAAGGCGTCCCCCGCAGAGCCACTCAGGCCAGCAAGCAGGGCCCAGTCCTGTCCTGGAAAAGCTCACACTGGAAATGGAGTTTAGTGCTCAGGCTATCCCAATGCCTGGGGGCCGGAAGGTGGGAGGGGCAGTGTGGTTAGGGAGACTGGAAGGAGAGCTGGGGACCTGGGGTGAACACAAGGCCCCCAAACCCCAAGGAATAAATCTCTGTGGCCTTGAACAGCTGCTCCAAGGACAGACGCTCATTCAGTCATAAAATAAAACAAATGAGAAAGCCCCGAAAGAACAGCTGATCTGTAGTTATGGATGAATTCCAGAACTGTCCATGCGCCCTGTGAATGGCCCTAAGTCCCCCAGAGGCAGGCTGGGCTTGAGTGACACCCCGATGATGATGGGCTGGGGACAAATGAGCCCCTCCCCCACCAAGGGCAGCCATGACACAAGCCACGTGCAAGGGACCACAAGGGACCAGCTTGAGGTAAAACTCAAGCCCAGGAGCCTGCGATCAGGGGCCCGGGATCTAGCAGGTTGCTGACCCCAGACCCAACAAGAATGTTCTAGAACATCCAGTCACTCCTCACCCTCCAATGAAAGGCCACAGTAAGCCGAGGGTCGGTGGCTCCCGCCTGTCACCCCAGCTACTCAGGAGGCTGAGATCTGAGGATCGAAGTTCAAAGCCAGCTCAGGCAGGGAAGTCCCTGAGACTCTGATCTCCAGTGAACCAGCAAAAAGCCAGACGTGGAACTGTGGTTCAAGGGGTAGAGCACCAGCCTGGAGTGACTGGCCTTGAGTTCAAACCCCAAAACCAACACAAAAAAAGTAGGGGGGGACACAGTAGCTGAGAGGAGAGCCCCCCCAAACCAAAGCCATGGTGACTGTGCACCCCCCTCTCCCCCCCCCCATGAGGCCCCGGCCCTGCCCTGTAGTTATGGATAGGGTTGCCAGCACCTAGGCCCTTCTCCCCGCCCCTCTACCCCTCCAGAGACCAGATGCCCACTGTGCCCGCCCACGATCACTACCAAGAAAGGCCCAGAGGTCCTGGAATTCATTCATTCCCTCACTCATCCATTCATTCGAGCTGGCCCTAGAGACTGAACTCAGAGCCTGGGCGCTGTCTCTGAGCTCTTTTTCACTCCAGGCTGGCGATCGACCACTTGAGCCACAGCTCCATGTCCAGCTGTTTGCCGGCTCACGGGAGAGAAGAGGCTCTCAGACTTTCCTGAGAAAGTTCATCCAAGCACCTCGGTTTTAGGGTGCAGCCCCGGCCCTCCCCGGCCCCTTCCCCAAAACCTGGGCCTCGGGCTCTGGGGTCGTGTGTGGAGCTGAGATGCTAAGCTCGCCCCAAGGAGGGAGCGATCGGGGGCGCCAGGCACCCCCGAACCCCGGGCCGGCTGGAGGCAGGACGGCAGGGAGCGGCCCGGAGATCCGCGGGGGCCCCCCGAGGCCCCCGATCCCGCGGGGGCCCCCCGAGGTCCCCCCGTCCCCTACCTGCGCTTGTACTCGTCGCGCTCGCGCTTCACCTTGGCCAGCACGTTGTAGAGCGCGCGGATCTCGGGGGTGATGGTGTCGATCTGCACGCCCACCCCGTCGGGGTGCTCCCACGCCAGCCCGGGGCCCTGCACCAGCGCGGGCTCCAGGCCCGGGCCGAGGCGGCGGGGCTGCGAGAAGGACCAGATGGTGCCGGGCAGCAGGCGCGGCGGGGCCGGGGCCGGGGCCGGGGCCGGGGCCGGGGCGGCGGGCGGCCCCGCCTGCACCGCCTGGTCGCGCCGGCCGCCCCGCCGCGCGGGCCCGGCCTGCAGCGCCTGCTGCAGCCGCTTCTCCAGCAGCCGGTTGCGCCGCTCCAGCTCGTGCACCTTGGCCAGGAAGCAGCGGAAGCGCAGGTTCAGCGTCTTGAGCACGTTGATGTTGGAGCCCAGGTCGTTGCGCAGCGCCATGGCGGCGGGGGGCGCCGGGCCGGGGCCCGCGGCGGCGGCGGGCAGCTCGGCGGCGCCCGGCTCCCCCGGCGGCCCCGGCAGGCCGCGCTCGGGCGGCAGGAGGAAGAGGTTGGGCCCGAGTAGCGGATTCATGGCTGCGGCGCCTACTGCCGGGAGCCCGAGCGCCGGGCCGGCCGCGGGGAGAGGCTCAGCCAATGGGACGCGCGCGCCGCCCGCGCGGCCAATCAGGAGGGCCCGGCCGGGTGCAGAGGGCAGGGGGCGGGCGGAGCCGGCCAATCAGAAGGCGCGGCCGGAGTCCGAGCGGCCGGCCGGGACGGGGACGCGTCGCCCCCCCCCCCCCCCCCCGGTCCCCCAAAAACAACACAGAGGCGCGGGCGGGGGGCGGAGAGTGTATTGAGCGGATGGAGCGTCCGGGGCGGGCGCCGGGGCCTCACGGAGGGGCGGTCCCCGGTCACGGCCGCCCGCGGGGGCCGCCGGGCCCCGGCTTCCTCCTCTTGGCGGGCGGAGGCCGGCTGGCACCGGGCGAGGGCGCGGCGGGACGCGGCCGGGCTTTGGGGACGCCGTTGGCCCTGTGCTGCTCGTTCCCGGCCGCCCCGGCCTTGCCCGGGGGGCGGTGGCGGCCCCGGGGTCTGGGGGGGGCCCGGGATCCGGGGCCCGGCGGCCGGGCGTCCGCGGGGGACCCCTGTTTCTTGGCGGCCGGCAACCGCGGCCTCCCGGTCACCCCGGGCCCCGGGGCTGATCGGGCCCGGCCAGCGGGCGGGCTGCAGTCCTGCAGGCCGGAGGCAGCGGGGGGCGGCCCGGCGCCCGCCCCGGCGGGGGCGCCGTTGGGCTTCTTGGGGCGCCGCGCCCGCTGGGCCTTGGCGGCCGCCCTGGGTTCCTTGGCGGGCGGGCTGCGGCTCTGGGGCGCGGGGTGGTCCGGCTCTGCAGGGGGGTCGGCCGCACGAGTCCCTGGGGGCAACACACAGCACTGGTGACTCCAGGGCTGCCCGGGCGGCGGGGGCCTCCATCCGCACCCCTTGGGGCCCAGCGTCCGTGGAGGACGGGGGGGGGGGGGGGGGGGGGGGTGGGGTACGGCACCCCGAGGAGCAGGTGGAGCCCAGGGCCCGGGGCCCAGCCTCAGGCACTGGGCTTCATGTTATTTTTTTGGAGGGGGGGGAGCTGGTTGTGGGGCCTGAACCCAAGGCCTGGGCGCTCTACCACTTGAGCCACGGCGCCACTTCGGGTTTTCTGGTGGTTTATGGGAGCTCAGTCTCCCGGTCTTTCCTGCCTGGGCTGGCTTTGAACCTCGATCCTCAGATCTCAGCCTCCTGAGTAGCTGGGATGGCAGGCGGGAGCCACCGGCTGTTTCGTCAAGCCGGAGGTCATTCTTTCTCGCTGTGAGCTGTCATGCAACCCATGAAAACGAGGATTCCCCCTCCTCCCCCCCCAACAGGACAATGGAGATCGCCAAGTTTTTATAACATTCAGATGCCGGCTTTGTAAGGGGCACTGATTGAAAACAAAAACAAAAAGCAGCGCCAGGGGCGTGGCCCAGCGGGTAGGCACCTCCCTAGCAGGCACAGTCTTTGGGGTCCATTCCTCCTCCGCGCCCCCAAATCAAATTTAGAGCAGATCCCCACTCTGCGTGGATTCTTTATGGGCAGGCCGAAGTCACAGGCCGGTGCTGCAGAGAACCCCACCCTCCCCTGGAGATCCCCGCCCGCCTCAGGATGGTAGAGGGCGCGATCCTCCATTAATGTGATGGACTCAAAACTGCTGACCGTTCTGTGAGGCCAGCGCGAGCCCAGCCCAGCCCAGCCCGGCAATGCCAGAGCAGCAGGGAATATTATGTTACCAGTAAGTGGATCCAGGGCCAAGAAGCCAGAGAAACCACAGCCGGCCGCGGACAGGCACTTAGTGCTCAACAGGGCCACGTGCAAGGGAGGGGCTCTCCCATCTGTGTGCGCCCCAACCTGCACAGAGGGGCTGGGGAGTGGATAACCAGGGTCTCCCGGTGAAGCAAAGAGGAAGATCAAGCACCTACACCCGCTGCTGTCCTGCAGTTACACCACCAGCAGCTCACGCCTGTAATCCCGGCTACTGCGGAGGCTGAGATCAGAGGACTGCAGTTCAGTGGCAGCCCATGAAAAAACTGATGTTTCTCTCCAATTCACTATCAAAAAGCTAAAAAGTGCAAGTGTGGTTCAAGTGGTATAGCATCACAACTGAGCAGAGAAACTGAAGGACAGTTAGGACGGAAGCACTGAGTTCAAGCCCTGGCATTAAGAAGCAAGTAGGGGGAGGGGAGCTGGAAGTGTGGCTTAGAAGGTAGAGCGCTCGCCTCGTATGCAATGAAGCCCTGGGTTCGAATCCCCAGTACCACATACACTGAGAAAGCCAGAAGTGGCGCTGCGGCTCAAGTGGTAGAGCGCCAGCCTCGAGCAAAAGCAGCTCAGGGACGGCGCCAGGCGCTGAGTTCAAGCCCAGGCCTGGCAAAAGAGACGAAGGGGGGGTGGACCCGGGCGGATCACCCACCTGCCAGGGCCGGGGCCGGGGCCTGGGGGACGGCGTTGGAGAACTTCTTGAGCTTGGCGATGAAGAAGCCGTCCATGTTGTGCGCATGCGGGTAGAAGCGGCGGGCGGCGCGCAGGCTCGGGTGGAAGCGGCGCTCGCGGAAGCGCGTGAAGCCCTCCTGGCCGAAGTCCAGGCCGGTGGGCACCAGGCGCACGTTCCGCTTCTTGAGGGCGTAGTCCACCACCCACTCGTTCTCCTCCACCTGGGGTGCGGGGGGCGCGGGGGGGTGAGGGGGGCTCCCGGGCCGCCGCCCGCCCGCGCCCCGGGCCGCAGCTCACCATGATGGAGCAGGTGCAGTAGACCAGGTAGCCGCCCGTCTTGGAGGCGGCGTTGACGGAGTCGATGGCGCTCAGGAGCAGCTCCTTCTGCAGGTGGGCGCAGCGCAGGATGTCCTTCTCGTCCTGCACGGCAGGGAGGGGGCGGGTGAGCGGGTGCCCCCCCGCGCATGCCCAGTGTCCGTGCGGCGGTCCAGCACCCCAGCGCATGCCCAGTGCCCGCCCGGCATGCCAGCAGCCCAGTGAATGCCCAGTGCGCGCCCAGCACCCTGGCGCATGCCCAATGCCGGCCACGCGTCCCGGCGCATGCCCAGTGTCGGCCCGGCGCATGCCCAGTGCCCGCCCGGCGTCCCGGCGCATGCCCAGTGCCCGCCCGGTGCCCCGGCGCATGCCCAGTGCCGGCCCCGCGTCCCCGCGCATGCCCAGTGCCCGCCCGGCGTCCCGGCGCATGCCCAGTGCCCAGGCGGCGCCGCCCACCTTGTTGGTCTTCACGGCGGGGTCCTTGGAGATGACGCCCGTGCCGCTGCAGGGCGCGTCCAGCAGCACGCGGTCGAAGCCCCCCACCACCTTGGGGAACTGGCGCCCGTCGTAGTGGCTGACGATGGCGTTGGTGACCCCCAGGCGGTGCAGGTTCCCCACCACGCTCTTGAGGCGCTCGGCGTTGGCGTCGTTGGCGAGGATGACGCCCGTGTTCTTCATCAGCTGGGCTGGGGGGGAGAGGGAGGGAGGGGATGGGCGGCCCGGCCCCCGCCTCCACCCCGCCCCCCCCATCTCCCCCCTCCCCGGCCCGCCCCCCATCTCCCCCCTCCCCCCCCATCTCCCCCCTCGCCGGCCCGGCCCCATCTCCCCCCTCCCCGCCCCCATGCCACCCCGCCCCCATCTCCCCCATCTCCCCCCTCCCCGCCCCCATGCCACCCCGCCCCCATCTCCCCCCTCCCCGGCCCGGCCCCCCGGCCGCCATCCTCCCGCCCGCCCCAGCCCCTCTCAGCAGCGGCGGCAGCTGCGGCGGGCGCAGGGCCGCCCCGCACTCACCCATGTAGCTGGTCTTGCCCCCGGGGGCGCAGCACATGTCGAGGACCCGCTCGTGCTCCTGGGGCGCCAGCGCCATGACGGGGAGCAGGCTGGAGGCGCCCTGCAGCATGTAGTGCCCGGCCAGGTACTCGGGGGTGGCGCCTGCGGTGAAGGACGGCGGTGACGCAAGGCCCTGGGCGGGGCCTGGGAGTGGGCGGGGCCACCGCGGGGGGGCGGGGCCTGGGCGGGGGCCGCCGCAGGGCGGGACCTGGGCGAGGCAGGAGCGGGGCCTGGGAGTGGGCGGGGCCTGGGCGGGCGGGGCCTGGGCGGGGCGGGGCGCCTCTCACCGATGGGCACCGAGGAGTCGTACACCACCAGGCCGGTCTTGGACCACTTGCCCAGGGGGTCCAGGTTGACGCCGCGATTGATGAGAGCCTGAAAGTGAGGAGGACGGATGGGAGAAAACCTCGGGAGCTGCTCTGCCTAGCAGACACCCGAGGCCCAGCGCAGTGGCTCCTGCCTGTAATCCCAGCCGAGACTGGAGGATGGCAGGTGGAAGGCAGTCTGGAGAGGGTAAGGCTGTGAAGCTCTGATCGCCAATGAATGGGCAAAAAAACATCCCAGAAATGGAGCTGGGGCTCAGCTTTGCTTAAACAGATGAAAGTTCAGCAGCCAGGCCCAGAGTTCAAATCCTAGTATCCTCACAGATGGAGAGGAACTGACATGACGTCCCAGATGTGGGGGTTAGAGGTCACAGTCCCTGGCCCCTTGGTGCCCATGGCTCTCAGCACCCAGATCCAGGTTTGCAGGTGTAGGAGGCGCGGGGTGGGGGCGGAGGATGGGGTGCGGGGTGATCGTGGGTGTGCAGCAGCAATACCCCCCACCCTGGAACGAGACCTCACCTGTGCCAGGTCTCGGCGCCGGGTCTTCAGGGTGTTGGTACGGAGGGTGATGGGCCGAGGCACCTCATTGGCTTCTAAGAACTCGATCAGCTGCATCAGAGACGAGAGGGCGGGGCCTCAGCACGCGTGGGGGGGGGGTTGCCCAGGAGGCTGAGATCTGAGGATCACAGTTCAAAGCCAGCCCCGGCAGGCAAAGTCTTTGGAGTGGCTCAAAGGTAGAGCGCCAGCTGAGCTGCAAAAGCTCAGGGACAGCGCGGCCAGGCCCTGAGTTCCAATCCAGGACAACAAAAGTGAGGGGTGGGAGGGGATGCACCTCGGACAGGGGAAAGAGTTCCACGAGCTTGCGAAGCAGGAAGTCCCCGTAGGAGTAGTAGGTGGCCAGGTCCTTCTGTAGGCGGCTCAGATACTCGGCGCGGGAGCGGCCTTCTTCCCGCTGTGCCCCGAAATCACGCAGCACCCCCACGAGGTCCTGGATCCGCTTGTGCACGCGCTGCAGGTCGGGGGCCTGGGCATGTGGGTGCAGTCAAGGGGCTGTCCACGCACCGTGAGGCCCTGGGGCCGGGTGGTCCCCCCCCTCCCTACCCCACGGAGAAGGATATCCTGCTCCGTGTCGCCAGCAGGGGGCAGCACGAAGGGCTCGTCCTGGTCCACGTTGATCTGCAGGTCCCCCTCGGCCTCTCCGGGTTCGCGGGGCTCCGGGGATGGCGCCTCCTCTTCCTCAGAGTCCTCCTCGCTCCACTGGCCTCTGAAGCAGGTCCGGGACGGCGAGTCACACACCAGAACACACTCACGCTCACACACGCAACCCGGCCTCCGCCGCAGCCCCTCGCTCACCCCGCCGCGGCCTCCAGCGCCTTCTGCCTCCGGGCTGCTCGCTCAATGGGCAACAACTGAAAAGAGAGGGGGGCTGGGAAGTCCACCCTCTGACCCCTGACCCACTGACCCCTGCCCTGCCAACGCAGGTGTGCATCCTCCACGGAGGCCGGGCCTGTCACCCCAGCGACTCAGGAGGCTGAGATCTGAGGATCACAGTTCAAGGCCAGCCCAGGCAGGAAAGTCTGTGAGACTCTGATCTCCAATGAACCATCCAAAACCCCAAGTGGGGGTGTGGCTCAAGTGTGCAGCGCCAGGTTCACTGACAAAACACAGGCACAGCGCCCAGGCTCTGGGTGCGAGCCCCACTACCACCCCCGACCGCAACCCCCCAGCTCCCAAAAAAGGAGAGATGGTAACCAATGAAACCAACAAGCCTTCATACAAGGGCTGTGGGCTGGGGCTAGAGCACCAGCACCCCATGCTCAAGGCCCTGGGTTCGAATCCATCTCACACACAAGCATGCACGCGCACACACATCACTGCGGAAACTACATGATGATTAAAAAATCATATGCAAGCTGTCCACTTCCCATCACAGCCTCCAAAGTTCTAGGATTACAGATACGCATCACCTGGGGTGTGTGTGTGTGTGTGTGTGTGTGCGCGCGCGCGCGCGCATGCGTGCTGGTACTGGGTGAGACTCAGGACCTAATCCCTGTCCCTTAATTTTTCCCTTCACGGCCAGCACCCTATCACTTGAGGCATGCCTCTACTTCTTTTTTTTAACCAGTCCTGGAGCTTGAACTCAGGGCCTGGGCGCTGTCCCTGAACTTTTTGCTCAAGGCGAGTACTCTACTTCTTGAGCCACAGCGCCACTTATGGTTTTTGGGTTGTTTATTGGAGATCAGAGTCTCACGGACTTTTCCTGCCCGGGCTGGCTTTGAACCGCCATCCTCAGATCTCAGCCTCCTGAGTCGCTGGGACGACAGGCGGGAGCCACCAGCGCCCGGCCCGACGCCCATTCTCATTTATTTAAACACACTACCCTGTAGCCCTTTCAAGTTTATGCTCAGAGAAGATTCAAGGCCAGAAAGAGCCAGTGGTGGCTTTCTACTGCCACATAATGTCAGTCCCAGGAGAGGCTCAGCCATCAGGCGAGAAACTCGAAGGCAAGCCAGGTGTGGTGTGCACGCCTGTAATCCAGGCTACGGGGAGCTGAGCCCCGAGGCCCACCAGCTGTCATCTGAGCTGCCCAGGGAGAGGAGAAACATTCCAAAGATCCGGGAGTATCTAGAAGTGAATCTGACCTTGTCATCCTCGTCCTCGGAGTGTGAGTCGGCGCCGTAGTCATCCACCATGTCAGCATCACTGTCTTCCGAGCCCCACAGGTCATCCTGCTTCACCTCAGTATCCTCCTCCTCCTCCTCTTCATCCTCCTCGCTGCTGTGTGCAGGTGCCGGGCGCTTCCTGCCCCGAGCAGTGCTCAACAAGGCCTGGGCTCCCTTCTGACTGGAGAGCCCAACAGCTCCTGCAAATGCCCCATGTGATGCTGCTACTTGGGTCACAGCGCCCTTTCTGCCCTTTTTTTTTTTGGTTGGTCTTGAACTCTGGGCCTAGGCACTGTCCCTCAGCTCTTCAGCTCAAGGCTGGCGCTCTACCACTTGAGCCACAGCGCCACTTCCAGTTTTCTGGTGGTTCATGGGAGATCAGAGTCTCACAGGCAGGAAAGCCCGGGCTGGTTTTGACCCATGATCCTCAGATGTCAGCCTCCTGAGTAGCTGGGATGACAGGTGTGAGCACTGGCACTGGGCCTTTTCTGGCTTTTTGCTGCCTCACTGGAGATAAAAGTCTCAAAAGCTGGGCACTGATGGTTCACATCTGTCATCCCAGATACTCAAGCAGTTCAAAGCCAGCCCAGGCAAGAAAGTCCACGAAGCTCTGATCTCCAGTGAACCACCAAAAAAAAAAAAAAAGCCAGAAGTGGAGCTGTGGCTCAGGTGGCAGAGCACTAGCCTAAAAGTTCAGGGACAGGGGCTGGGAAGGTGGCTCAGTGGCAGAGCGCTTGCCTTGCATGCCTGAGGCCCTGGGTTCGATTCCTCAGCACCACATAAACAAAAAGAAAAAAGCCGGAAGTGGCGCTGTGGCTCAAGTGGTAGAGCACTAGCCTAAGAACACAAAAGTTCAGGGACAGCGTCCAGGCCTTGAATCCAAGCCCCAAAACAGGAACTGAGTCTCAGAAACTTCTGCTCTGGCTGGCTTTGAACCTTGATCCTTGCGTCTCAGCCTCGTGAATAGCTAGGACTACAGGCATGAACACCAAGGCCCGACCTTCTACTCCCTTGAATTACACCTCAATCTTCAGATCTCAGCCTCCCGAGTAGCTAAGGCACCACTACTGGGCTCGGGCTCTCCCCTTTATTCCAGAAATCCCCACCACCACCACCAGGATTGAGAACACTGGACAGGTAAGCTCCTGGACCGGGGTTCACTGACCTTTTGGTAGCTGTCCAGGTAAGGCTTTGGCCCCAGGAGACCTGTTTGTCTTAGGGATCTCCACAGATTCCAGCCTCCTCTTGGCTGCCCTGTGAAGTACAGGAAACGTGGACACGTCTGGAGTGCACAGCTGATCACTCACCATCAGCGCGCTCCACCCACCCAAGCGGCAAAACGCACATCCTAACCACGGCACGCCCGGAGATCCGCACTCACCTCTTCCGAGCCCGACTGGACAGTCTCTTGGAACTTTCATCATCAGCTGATTAGCAAAAAAAAAAAGGAAAAATAAGTTTGAGAGAAATAAGAGTAATGGATTTGTGTAATAGTTGGATTTGTACAACTCAAAGGAGTAGAAGGCCAGGCCCGGTCCTCCCGCCTGTAATCCTCGCTACGCAGGAGGCTGAGGTTGCGAGGATCGAGGTTCAAGGCCAGCCCGGGCAGACAAACTCCAGAGGCTGGTTAGGAAGGTAGACGATGGTGGGGGGCGAGGAGCCCTGGAAGGGCTCTGGGGGTGAGTGTGAGGATGATCAGCCCCGAGGCCCGAGGCCGCGGAGCCGGGCGCAGGCCTGCAGCCCCGGCTAACCCGGCTGGAGGCCGGCCGGGGCCCCGGGTCCGGATCCGGGGCGCGCGCGGGGCCCCGGGCTCACCTGCCGGCAGGAAGCGCAGCAGCTCGGTCTCGGCGCCCTTCTGCTTCCGCGCCTTGCGGCCGGGCCCGCGCTTCTCCCTCGTGGGGTCCAGCTTGCGCCCCATGGCGGCCCTGGCCGGGGGAGAAGGCGCGCGCCGGGGCGGGCTGCAGGCGGGACGCGAACCCGCGGCCGCCCCGCCGCCCGCCGGCCCCCGGGACCCGCGCTCACCCTCCGCCGGCTCGAACCCCGGCCCTCGCCGTCACCGGACGCCCCACGTGGAGACAGGGAACACGCCAACGTCGCGCGGGGCGGAAGCACGACGCGCGAGCGCCGGCGGAAGCGCGCGTCCAGGCCCCGCCCCTTCCGGCCACGACCGAGCGCTTCGTCCCGCCCAGGCCGGGGAGTGCGCAGGCGCGAGAGATCCCGGCGCCCCGCCCACCAGGAGGCCCCGCCCCTCCCTGTACCAGCCCGGCCCTCCGTGGCCCCGCCCCCTCCCCGAGCTGGCCCCGCCCTCCCGAGGCTGGGTTTTGTACCAGGGTCAGAACGTCCGTCCTCTGGAAGGCAGCCCCTCCTGAACCCCTTTACCCCCTACCCACCCTGGGGTCCCCGACCTTGCCTCACCGCTCCCCTTCACCCGCTCACCAGCCTCCAGGGCTTGGGCCTGGAGCTCTAGACACTGGATTCCAGCAAAAAAAGACCACCAAAAACAAACGTTCCAAGAACTTTCCTGGCACCTTTGTGTCTCTCGCCTGTCATCCAGGCCACGCAGGAGGCTGGGCCCTGAGGACCGAGGTTGGAAGCCAGCCTGGGCAGAAAAGTCCATGAGTCACATCTCCGGCAAAAAGCAGGAAGTGGAGCTGTGGCTCAAGTGGTAGAACACCAGCCTTAAGAAAAAGCCAAGCAGGGGCTGGGAAGGTGGCTCAGTGGTAGAGCGCTTGTCTTGAGCTGAAGAGCTGAGGGACAGTGCCCAGGCCCAGAGTTCAGGCCCCACGCCCGGACCCAAAAACAAAAACAAAAAAAAAAAGAAAAAAAGCCAAGCAAAAGCCTGAGGCAGTCCTGAAATCTGGGGCCAGAAGTTAAAAGTAATTCGAAGGCTGGCGCCCGGGGCTCCCGCCTGTCATCCCAGCTACACAGGAAGCTGAGATCTGAGGATCACGGATTCATAGCCAGCCTGAGCAGGCAAAGCCCACAAGACTCAATCACAGAAAAAGCCAAAGTGGCGCGTAGCTCAAGTGGTAGAGCACCAGCCTCAACGCCAGTGAGCAGGCCTTGAATTCAAGACCCAGGACCAGCAACAAACCAACCCCGCAACTCTCCCCAAGTCTCAGATGGATGCTGTACTAGCAGCCTGGAACCCCAGGCTAGGAGCAGGGGGGGCCGGCTTGCAGGAGGCCCTGGGGCTGCTTCTCTTTCTGGGGCGTCTGCACCCATCTACCTGCTACCCCCACACGGAATCCGAGCGTTAAAATACAAGGAAACCTTTATTTTTTTCATTTTCATCAAGAAATTTGCTGTTTGCTTTTTTTTTTTTTTTAATGCTTTTTGGTTCTTTTTCTCTTTTTTTTCCCCCCCAATTTTCTTCTTTTCTGGTTTTCGCCTTTTAAGTTCCGTTTTGTCTCTCAGTCAAGTGGCTGGAACTGCTGGGTTCCTAGTATGAAAAAAAATGATGCCAACAGAGAGGTAGCTGTGTCTCCCAGGGTTCCGCCCACTCTGAATATCCAAAAAAAAAAAGAGAGAGAAAGCACAAAATAAAACCAAAATAAAAAACAGAGGAGATTCAGATGGTTTGTCTTCAAGCCTGGCAGGAACCCACAGAGTCTGTGTGTAACAGTGGTGGAGGGGCGGAGCCCAGGGCCCACAAGGCCCGCCCACTGCTGCCAGCTCCCTGCTGATAGGCCACCGAGCGCTGCCAGTCTCTGCAGCAGGAAGGGCCGCCCGGCGGCTCCGCCCCTCCCCGCGGTGCCAGGCGCTGCTGTTCCTTTGGGACCGGGTCGGGGGCAGGAGGAAGCCCCCAGGGGAGAAGCGGGGACACGAGGAGATGACTGATGGTCACATCCGCTCTTCACTGCTGCTGAGCCACCTATGGGGGGGAGGGGAAGATGGCCGACCAGTCACAATCCCAGATGACACCAGACAGGGACAGGGAGCAGCCCCCCCCAGTTCCAGAAGCGGGGCTGGGGATGAAATCGGGGTACACCCACCTGCTGCGGGGGAGGCTCTGGGGCCCGGTTTGCCAGGCGACTCAGGATGTTCCGCTCCGACATCTGTAACCTCACGGCCACCGGGGGGATGCGCGCGATGGTGGCGGGGAGCCGCGTCACGTCGGCCTTCATGTCGCTCAGGAGCTCTTCCAGCTGCTTCAGAACTGCACGGGGAAACCGAGGCGGTGAGCCGGGCCCGCCCTCACAGCAAGGCTTCTGCCCCGTGAGGCCCAGGCGCCCCACGCCCGCTGGGGCCCCGCTCCTCCGATTCCACTTCCAAATGGTCACACGTCTCCTGAGATGGCCCAGGCTGCTCTCGAACTCCTGGGTTCAGAACCCAGGGACTGCGCATGCCCGGCCGGAGGGGGCTAAGCCTTGGGCCACGCACACTGGCTCCCTCACTTTTGCTTGGGGTGGTCTCAGACTTGCTCATCTTCCTCTAGCTGGAACTACAGGAATGGGCTGCCATACCCAGCCGTTCTCTGCATTGTCACCTGGCCTTCATTGCTCTTTGCTGTAGCCTCTTACTTCCCCTTTTTATTCTTGGGGGGTCAGAAATGGAGTGTTGGGCCTTGGGATCCTCCCGGAGCTCCTGCTGCCATTCCTTAGTGCTCTACGATTGCCTGCCCTTCTCTCCCACTTCCTCTCTAGCAGCCTTCGTAGCCTCATTTCACCCCCACCTCCTCCTCCTCGTGTTCTGCTTTAACTAGAAAGAAAAGGTTGATAGGGGTCTAAAATTTGAAGGGCTCTTAAACACCTGATGTTACCTCTAAATCCGGGGTGACACTCTTATTAGGCTAGTTTGCATTCCGTGTCAAGAACCTGAATACATTAAGAGTCAAAGAGAGTCTGAGAGCTCGTCAGCACAGCCCGAGCTCCCAGGCTGGCTCCCAAGTGCACAGAAGCCAGCAGGGTGCTGTAGCTCACGCCTGCCACCTGAAGCTACTCAGGAGGCTGAGATCTGAGGATCCAGGTTTGAGGCCAGCCTGGGGAGGGAGGGAGGGCTGGTGGAGAGGGCGGAGCGGGCGGCCACGGGCTACCTTTGTGCAGGACTGCGTTGGCAGGCTTGTTTCCCGCCATGGACTCCTTAGACAGGTGCTGGTGGCTCTCGGCCAGGCACTCCACCTCGGCGAAGCGGGTGTTGAGGGCCATGGACGGGTGCGAGGGGTCCTCGGACATGTTCAGATAGGCCGCCCTGCGCAGCTGCTCCTCGATCACCAGGGCCTGCTCCAGGAGCTGACGGACACAAGAGAGCGAGATGACGCCCGTCCCTGATCACACGTGTGTGTGTGTGCACACAGCTGTCTATAACAACGTGCAGAGGAAAAAGGCAAAACACAAAAAACAGTGCAATGAACACTAGTCATGTACACGCTGTCTGGCAGAACAGGGAGAATTTCCTCCCCTCCTTGTTTCCTTTGCAGGGTGAGTATTGAACTCAGGGCCACAGGTGTGCAGGGCACAAAACCTGCTGCTCAGCTATACCCGTAGCCCGCACCCACCGGCTCACCCACATCCATTTCGGGCCAAGCAACTGACAGGAGAAAGCCTGGGCTGGGGCTGCACCTGCTGCCAATCCATCCGATCCAACATCCTCTTTCTGCCCTGGACTCAGCCTTTCCCACCTTCCACCTCGGCTCACGGCTGCAGTTTGGCGTGGGGTCAGGTCGAAGCTACCCACGCTGCTCTCGACTTGCTATACTGTCCCAGCCTCCTGAGTGGAGGGATCACAGCAAGCCCCACCATAGGCCACCTGGCTGGGTTTTGGTCGGTTCTGTTTTTCTGACCAGTACTGGGGCTTGAACTCTAGGTCGAAGTGCTGTCCCCAAGCTTTTGTGCGCAAGTTTAGTGCTCTACCACTTGAGGCACAGCGCCACGGCCTGCTTTTTCTGTGTATGTGGTATTAAGGAATCAAACCCAGAACTTCACGCATGCCAGGCGAGCACTCTACCACTGAGCCACCTTCCTAGGCCTTCCAATGTTTTGTTTTGTCAGCCAGCACTGTGTGGATTATGTTTATGGGATGAACATCCTAGGCGCAGATAGTTTCATTCCTGGGGTGCGGTGGAGGTCAGGCAGTGTGGATATGCTTCTCTTTTTGGAGTGAGGGTCAGTCATGGGGCTTGAACTCTGGGCCTGGGCGCTGTCCCTCAGCTCTTTAGCTCAAGGCGGGTGCTCTACCACTTGAACCACAGCGCCACTTCCAGTTTTCTGAATGGTTTATTGGAGATAAGAGTCTCATGGACTTTCTTTCCCAGGCTGGCTTTGAACTGTGATCCTCAGATCTCAGCCTCCTGAGCAGCTGGGATGACAGGCGGGAGCCAGAGTGCCCGGCTACTTCCTTCTTTTCTACTAGCTGTTCCTGTCCCGAGAGACGCCTCAACTTTCTCCATGAATCGGGCCAGAACGGCAGCTGTCTCTGGAGTCTGCCCATCACCCCGAGTGGAAGAGCGGGCACACCAGGGCCCAGAGGCCAGATCTGCCCCATGGGCAGTTTCTATATGGCCAAAAAGCCACAGGTGGGCTTGGTGTTGTGCCAGTACTGGGTGGTACTCGAACTCAGGGCCGTGCTGTCCCTTAGCTCTATCAATCAAGGCTGGCGCTCTATCGCTTAAGCCTTCTGTAATTAGAGATTTGAGTCTCAGGGCGGGCGTGGTGGATCCCGCCTGTAATCGCAGCTGCTCGGGAGGCTGAGGTGCTGTCCAGCCCAGGCTGGCTTTGGACGTGAGGCTGTCAGGTCTCGGCCTCCGGGGTGCGGGTCCTGCCCGCGGGTGCCTCGGGGGCCCCCCCCCGCGGGGCGCACGCCCTCCCCTTTATCCACGCGAGCGCGGTGACCCAGAAAAGGGCCCCCATCCATCCCTCCCCCAGCCAGCTCCTCAGGAAGCCCCTTCGCCGACGTTCCAGCTCATGGACGAACTCGCACCCGCCCGTCAGCACCGCGCACGCGCAGCTGCGCCGCTGGTCCTCCACACTGCGCACGCGCAGCTGCCTGCCTCACTCGTCCTCCACACCGCGCACGCACAGCTGCCTCACTCGTCCTCCACACCGCGCACGCGCAGCTGCCTCACTCGTCCTCCACACCGCGCACGCGCAACTGCCTCACTCGTCCTCCACACCGCGCACGCGCAGCTGCCGCACTCGTCCTCCGCACCGCGCACGCGCAGCTGCCTGCCTCACTCGTCCTCCGCACCGCGCACGCGCAGCTGCCTCGCTCTCCCTCACTTCTGCTAACTTGGAAACTAAGTCACAGAAAAATCAAACGAGGGCGGAGCCAGCCTTCTCACTCCCTGGCAGAACCTTCTGGAATCTCGTCCACCCCCACCCCCCCGCGTCCCCCCGCCGCTCACCTTGAACCTCCGCGCCAGGAACTTGTTCTTGATCTCGAGGAAGTTGCCGCGGTTCATCTCGCCCTTGAAGGGCTCGTTGAGGATGGCGTAGCGCGGGTCGTTCTGGATGTCCTGCCACCGCGCGTAGCCGTGGCTGCGGGCGCGCGCTCAGGAGCACAACCGGCCGGCGGCGGCGGACCCGACACCCGGGGAGCCCGGGAACCCCGACACGCCGACAGCCCCGCACCCCGGGAGCCGCCCCGACACCCGGGCATCCCTGACACCCCCCGGCACCCCGGGAGCCGCCCCGACACCCGGGCATCCCTGACACCCCCCGCACCCCGGGAGCCGCCCCGGCCCGCCCGCCCGCCCGCCCGCCCGCAAGGATACTTGATGATGCCGGCCAGCAGCCAGTAGTCGTGGCGCCGGTGCCAGATCTCGTAGGTCTTCTTGGTGACGGTGGCCGCCCGCTCCTCGTTCTGCCACAGCGAGTGCAGCTCTGCGGGGGGACAGCCGGTGAGACGCGGACCCCGCGCACACCCTCGGCCCGCACCCGCCAAGGGAGGTCAGCAGGCGAGGCCTCGAGCCCGCACCCTGCTGACCAGCCCTGTGCGCATGCGCGGCCTCTCCGGCACCACCCTGGCCAGCCCCAACGCGCACGCGCGAACTCACCCACACCACCCAGGCCAGCCCCAACGCGCATGCGTGGCCATCCCACGCCACCCAGGCCAGCCCCAATGCGCACGCGCGGCCTCACCGGTACCACCCAGGCCAGCCCCAACGCGCAAGCGCGGCCATCCCACACCACCCAGGCCAGCCCCAACGCGCACGCGCGGCCTCACCCACACCACCCAGGCCAGCCCCAACGCGCACGCGCGGCCTCACCCGTGAAGCCGCCATCTGCGATGTTGAACATGAAGCGCTGCTTAATGTTTTTCTTCTGCTTCTCGTCGCTCAGGTCCTTGGGGGTCTCCCCGTTCTGCAGCATCACCTCCTTCTTCTCCTCCTCCTCCTTCTTCTCGTCTACAACGGGGCAAAAGTGAGTGGGGCTGCCTCCCCCCGCAAAGCCAAGCCCCACCTCTCCCAACACCCACCTTTATCCTCCACCACAACCGGGGTGAGATCTATGGGCGGCTTCTCCTCCACCTTCTCCACGTCAGCCGCACCTGCAGAGCAGAAAGCACTGAGAATGTTCCCAAAGGAGGCCGGGCGCCGGTGCTCACGCCTGCAATCCCACCTACTCGGGAGGCTGAGATCTGTCGATCGGGTTCAAAGGCAGCCAGACAGGAAAGCCCAAGAAAGTCATCTCCAATTGTTCAAGCCCCAGGAGGGGAGGCCCTGTGCCCCCTCCACCCTCCAACTTGAAGTCACTATGGGAGTCACGAAGCTGCAGGGCACGGGGCCTAGTTAAAATCCTGGTGGCTGGAGACTAGCAAAGCTCCCCCCAGGAGCTGGGGTGCTTGCCAGGGTGGGGACCCTACCTTTGGCCTCTGTGTCCATGGACTCCTCTGTCCTCTCCTTCACTTCTGCCTTTTCCACTTTCTCCTCGCCGACAGGAGGCTCAGCCAGAGCCTTTTCTTCCTCTGAGGCTGGGGTCGGCGGCGGGACACACTTCACAGGAAGGAAAAGCAGAAGATAAAGCAGGGGCAGGGGCGGGGCAGAGGGGGGCTTGGGTTGGGGGCTCGGGGTCCATGCCTCACCTCCGTAGCTGGCTCAGGGGCTGCCGCGGCCTTCACCTCCTTCTCTCCTTCGGCACTCTCCTCTTCTTTGAGGCTGTTTTCCTCTATTTTGATCCCATCTTCTGTGGAAATTACGGGAGACCAGCAATGAGGAAGGACGGCTGGGGTCAACGGGGAGGGGGGAGGCGGGGCCATGGCCCCTGTGAAATTGTCCCCTCGTGCCTTTAAGAGCCAGACCCATTCTTCGGGCTGCCCTCCTAAACTGAGGGGGGGTGGTACGCTGTGCGTCCTGCCAGACTGCGCGTGCGCCGCAGGAGCTGAGCACGGGGCAGCAGAGGGCGTGGCCAGGACGGGCTGGGCAGCAAGCCAGGGCCGGCAGGCTTACCAGCAGGGGGCGCAGGGGCAGGAGTATTGGGCTGGGTGTCCCCGGGAGTGGAGGGTGTTGGGGTCTTTGGAGAAGGTGATCCAGGCTGGGACATTTTCTTGTTTTCCTCTATTTCGGCCAGTTCAGGCATGCTCCAGCGTCCGTTCACATGTTCAAACTCCTGAACCTGTCGAGAGCAATCGCCAAATTGAGGACTTAATGAATGCTTGTACTAGTCTTGTTTCTTGAGAGACCCCCCCCCACCCCCGCAAGAATTAGACACACACACAAAAAAAAAATAAAATATGGAGAAGAGCCAGGAACTGATCGCTCCCGCCTATCATCCCAGCTACTCAGGAGGCTGAGATCTGAGGATCTTGGTTCAAAACCAGCCTGGGCAGAAAAGTCCCTGTGAGACTCATCTCCAATGAACCACCAGAAAACCGCTTTGGGGCTGTGGCTCAAGTGGTAGAGTGCTCCTCTTGAGCAGACATGCTCAGGGACAATGTGCAGGACCAGAGTTCACACCCCACGACTGACCAAAACCAATGGAGCAGCTCGGGGCTCACCTTCTTGCGAATCAAGGACATGACACCAATCCTGGTGAGCACGTGCTGGCGAGAAAGCCCTTCTCGGGGGACCCCATCAGCAAAGGTCTCGGCCCCATCAGCCCCTGGCTCACATAAATGCCGCATGAAAAGGGAGACATAGGCCCTGTGGTAGAGAGAAGCAGCAACAGTTAAGAGAATCCATGCCAGCCGGGCATGGTGGCACACACCTATAATCCTAGCCACTCAGCAGTCTGAGCTCTGAGGATTGAGGGTTAAAGGAAGTTGGGGCAGAAAAATCAGAGACTCATCTCCAGTTAGACGAGTGAGCCAGGCGCTGGTGGCTCACACCTGTCATCCCAGCTACTCAGGAGGCTGAGGGCTGAGGATCAGTTTCAAGCCAATCCGGGCAGGAAAAGTATATGAGACTCTTATCTCCAATGAACCGGAAGTGGCCCTGTGGCTCAAATAGTAGAATGCCAGCCTTGAGCAGAAAAAATAAGGAACAGCACACCCAGGCCCTGAGTTCAAGACCTAGTCCTGGCTTGGGCACAGAGAAAGAAAACAAGGGAGAAAGAAGGAAAGAGGGAGAGAGGAAGAAAGAGGAGGAGGGGAGAGGACGAGGGAGGAAAGAGAAGGGAGGAGGAAGAAGAAAGAGGAGGGAGGAGGAGGACCAAGGAAGGGAAAGAGCATCCATAACGCTACAGCCTCTCCTGCCTGGTCCCAGCTTTGTTCTAGAAGGCTGCGCCCAGAACCCACGTGGCCTCTGAGTGGCAGGAAAGCCACAGCTCCGCCAGCCATCCTCCACAGTGAGCACACCTTGGGGATGGGCCCGCGGGGGGTGAGGGGGACGGGAACAGATGGTGCAGTGGGGGGGATAGATCCCGGGGTGGAGGAGGGGCAGATCCCGGGGTGGAGGAGGGGCAGATGCCGGGGTGGAGGAGGGGCAGATCAGAGGGGGGACAGATCCCGGGGTGGAGGAGGGACAGATCCTGGGGTGGTGGACAGATCCTGGGGTGGAGGAGGGGCAGATCAGAGGGGGGACAGATCCCGGGGTGGAGGAGGGGCAGATCCCGGGGTGGAGGACAGATCCCGGGGTGGAGGACAGATCCCGGGGTGGAGGAGGGACAGATCAGAGGAGGGACAGATGGGGGGCGGGGGTCCAGGCCCGGCTCTCACTTGAACTCCTTCTCCGATTTGCCCCGCAGGTCCCTGACGAGCCACTGCGTGGTGAAGGCGTCCTGCGGCGGCATCCCGTACCGCATGATGGCGTTGAGGAACGCTTTCCGCTGGCGCGCGTTAAAACCCAGAACCTGGACGCAGGGCGGGGCGGGCGGCTTGAGCAGGGCGCCAGGGCAGGGCGCATGGGCCCCCCCGCGGCCCCGCCCCCCCGCGGCCCCGCCCCCCGCCCCCCCCGCGGCCCCGCCCCCGCGGCCCCGCCCCCGCGGCCCCGCCCCCGCGGCCCCGCCCCCCGCGGCCCCGCCCCCCGCGGCCCCGCCCCCCGCGGCCCCGCCCCCCGCGGCCCCGCCCCCCGCGGCCCCGCCCACCCCGCGGCCCCGCCCACCCCGCGGCCCGCCCCTCACCTCGATGTTCCCCCCGACGCGGGCCAGCAGAGGAGGCAACGGCTTGTCTTTATCATTGCGCAGGCCCTTGCGGCTGGGCCTGCGGGGGGCTGCGGGAAGAAATCGGGGTTCAGCCAGCAGGCCGGGGGGGGGGGGAGGGGGGCCGAGCACCCCGCCCCCGGGCAGGCCGCCGCACCTTCGGAGCGCTCGTCGAAGTCCTCATCACCTTCCTCTGAGGCCACCGAGTAGTCGGACTGGTTGTCGGACTGGTCGTCCTGCCAATCTGGGGGGAGAGGGGGCGCGTGAGCGGGGTCCGCGGGGTCCTCGGCGCGCGCGGAGCGGCCCGCGGGCGGGGGGCGCCGGCCACACACACCTCGGTCCTCCTGGGAGCCATCATTGTAGTTGACCTGCTTACGAATGCGTTTGCCCTTGCCCAGGTTGCGCGCCAGGTCCTCCTGCTGCTGCTCGTAGTGGTGCCGCAGCAGCTTCTCCCAGTAGTCGGGGTCCACGCTCTCCTCCTGCTTGATGATCTCCCGCTCCACCTCCTCTTCCTCCTGGGACACAGGGGGGCCGGGGCTCAGGGCGCTGAGGGCCGCGCCCCAGGTCCCTCCCCGGCGCCGGCTGCGCAGTGACAGCGACAGAGGCTACATGAGGTTAGTGTGTGCATAAGGAAAACGTGGAGCGGCAGAATTCCTTCTAGATCCTTCTCCCGATGAGAAGAGACAGAGGAGAGAAGGTTAGAGCTTCCGCAAGCAGGAGAAAGAGAAAAGCTGCAAAAGATCTTCAGAGAAAACACACGCCTCTCCAGTCCAACTCTGTGAAGGAATCGACAAAAGAACTCTAGTTTTTTTTTCTCACTCTTCTAGAAGTCTCATGGATATTTTCTGACATATCAGAACTGCCTGATGATGTAAATCCCTCGTGGGGAAAATAACTCATTGCCAACCATCCAAATGTACACCAATCAGCTAACTTAAAAGTACAGGGTGGGCATTCTTAACCCAAGATTAGAATGCAAAGACAAAAAAACAGAAAACAAAAATATGGGGCTGGGCAGGTGGCTGAGTGATAGCGTGCTTGCCCAGCATGTATAAAGCCCTGGTTCAATTCCTCAATACCACATAACAGAAAAAGTCCGAAGTGGCGCTGTGGCTCAAGTGGTAGAGCGCCAGCCTAGAGCCAAAGAAGCTCAGAGACAGCACCCAGACCCTGAGTTCAAGAAGCAGGACTGGCAAAGAAAAGAAAAAAATCTATAAACTATTCCAAAGTCCAAAATCTGCAACAGGGGCTAACACTTGTAATCCCAGCTACACAGAAGGCTGAGATCTGAGGATCAAGATTCAAGGCCAGCCCAGGCAGACAAGTCCTGAGACTCTTCTTTCCAATGAATCACCAAAAAAACTGGAAGTGGCTCTCTGGCTCAAAATGGTAGAGCGCTTGTCTTGAGCAAAAGAGCTCAGGGACAGCGCCCAGGTGCCAAGCTCAAGGCCCATGACTGACCAAAAAACAAACAATAACAAAAAAGCTAGTGGTGAAACAGAACATCTTCCTTGAATGAAAAGCTAAAGGACAACTTAGTCTTTTTGTACATTCCAGTAGCAGGCCTGAGTTCACCCCAGTAACACACACACACACACACACACACACACAGACTGAACAAAACAATTCTGATGGCAGCATTTCACATAGAGGATATTCAATCTGCATGTCTTAATAACTTCTATTTTGGGCCATATTCCTGAGATACATTAAGTAGACAAGAACAATATTTATAATAAATTACTTCTCTTTATACTTAAACTCCAGAGGGTTTATGGAAGACATGGTATGCGTGTTACACACCTATGCATAAATACATGGGTGATATACACAGATCCAAATAGGAACTCAAACGCATGTACCTTAGCTTCCCTTTAGAGTATCTTAAAAGACCTGAGCAGAGGCTGGGCGTCTGGCTCAAGTGGCAGAGGCCCCGAGTTCAACTCCAGTTCCACCTGAGATCAATGAAGTCAAGTCCTTCACGGAGTCCTCAGTGCGCAGACTCCGCGGCTTCTGACCCTGTGCTAAGACTGCATGCCGCGGGAGCATGTGTCCAGGTGCGTACTTGACGTGGCGCTGTGGCTCACGTGGCAGAGCGCCAGCCGTGAGCTGAAGAGCTGAGGGACAGCGCCCAGGCCCTGAGTTCAAGCCCCACAACCAGACCAAAAAAATCATTAAAAAAAAAAATAAAGTTTTCTTCTGTTTGGCAGTGTTGGGGTTTGAACTCAGGACCTTGTGCTCTAACACCGTGGCCACACTTCCTTTTTGTGTGTGCTGACGCTGGGCCTTGAACTCAGGGCCTGAGCGCTGTCCCTGAGGTCGTTTTACTCAAGGCTAATGGGAGGGCCACTTGCACTCTTGCTCAGGGCTGACCTAAAAATAGAATTTTCCTTTATCCTCCTGCAGAGCTGGGATTACACAAGGTGTCACCCTGCCCAGACTTGTTGAGGGTCTGCCGGCCTCGAGTCCTGTTCCTCCCACACAGCTTGGATATTAAGTTTTCACTGTTGTTTATTTTTACTTTGGCAGTAGTGAGCCAAACTAAAAGCCTCATGCTTGCTAGGCAGGGACTCCAAACACCTACTAGAAACATCTCCCTCCTCCCCCTCCCGCCAACAGTAACAAGGTTTGAACCAGGGCCTTTTTACTCAAGGCTGGAGCTATACCACTTGAGCCACATTTCCAGTACAGCATTTTACTGAGTGAAAATGGAATTATGTGGACTTTTCTGCTTTGCTTTGAACCATGATCCTCCAGGTCTCTGCCTGCTAAGTAGCTAGGATTACAGGCGTGAGCTACAGCATCTGGCTCTACTTGCTTTCCTGATACCATCAACGCTTCCCAGGCTTTCCTAGCGGGAGAGAGACTGGCTCACCACAGAAGCGCAAGCGAGAGAGCAAGCAAGACAGCAGGTCCCACGCCAGAATGCATGTTTCCTTTCAGTTGATGTCAGGATTAACCCCTAAATTATAAAAAGTAAAACAAATTCTAGGGTTGAGAAGCAGGGTGACCTAATTCATTCCTGCTTGTGTCCTAGCTACTCAGGAAAGCAAACAAGTAGGGAGAAACAGGGCTCAAGGAAAGCCCTAGAAAAAAGCCGAAACCCCATCTCAATCAATAAAATCTGGGCCCAGTGACACATGCCTGTCCTCTTAGGTACAATAGGAGGATCACAGTCCTGGCTCGACCAGGCTAACTAAAAGCAAGATAGTATTCAAAAAAAGCTGGGGCTGTGGACCAAGTGAAGAGTCACAGCATAAAGCTGTGCCAGCACGTCCAAAGCCTTGGGTTCCATCCTCAGCACAGCACCCCAAAAGAGAAATCCTGGACACAACAGTGCTGTGGCCACGCACCAATACATGATGTGTCCCGCGTGTAGTCACAAACACAGGCTACGCACCGGCCCGTGATGTCCTGAGGAATCTCATCTGTGCAACCTCCACTCCCAGCAAGTGCTGGCAGCAGACGCCTGTAATCCCGGCTCACTCAGGAACGTGCTGTGAAGCCAGGCCATGCAGGCAAGCCCGAGGAACTCTTACTTCCAGTGAGCCACCAAAAAGCAGGCAAGTGGAGTTATGGCTCAAGTGGTAGAGCACCAACTTTGAGTGACAAAGCTCAGGGACAGTGCCCCGGCCCTGAGTTCAAGTCCCAGGATTGGCCCGCGTGCACACTCACACACAGAATGGAGTGTGTGTTAAGAGCGTGGTAGACTTACAGTCTTTACTCTTACATCACTTTCCTGCTGGTTACAAAATGAAGTGTGCTGGGACCATCACCTTGGAGAACAAACAGCTCCCAACTCCCATTGAGAAACCAGCTAGCTACAAGAAGGCAGGAAGCGAGGGCGCAGCGACTGGAAGTCCACGCCCACTCCAAAGCCTCCCAGCCCCGTGGTCTAAAGAGGACCGCAAAGCAAGCCAACTGGAGGCTTAGCTTCATATGCCTGTCACTTGTGGATGAAGAAATTCCAATACACTATGTATTTCTGCTCTTTTTTTTCTTTTTAACTTTAAAAGACCACAGGGAAAAGGAGAGGGGGAAAAAAAGTAATAATTTGGAGAAAGTAAAGGGGGAGGGAGTGATATTGTTCAAAAAGAAATATATTCTTGGCCTGGGCAGGTGGCTCAGTGGTAGAGTGCTTGCCTAGCATGCATGAAGCCCTGGGTTCAATTCCTCAGTAGCACATCCACAGAAAAAGCCAGGAGTGGCGCTGTGGCTCAAGTGGTAGAGCGCCAGCCTTGAGCCAAAGAGGCTCAGGGACAGCCCCCAGGCCAGGTCCTGAGTTCAAGGCCCATGCGCAACAAAATAAATAAATAAATAAAAGGGCCAGAGGCCTGTTTCGGGTCCTACAAAGCTTGTCTGGCTGGGTAAACCCCAGTGCCGCTGAAATTAAAACACAGAAAAAGAGACCAGGCATAGTAGCGGACCTCTATAATCTCAGCCAGTCAGGGCACAGAGATCAAAATGTCCCCAGCTCAAGGCCAACTAGAGGCACAACCACGAGAGAGAGACCCTTGGTGCAAAATAATCTCCAGGACAAAACGGCTAGCAGCCTGGCTCAAGTGGCCAGCAGAGCACTTGCCTAACGTGCCAGGGGTTCGAATCCCAGGTAGCACCAATCCCCGAACCTGTCCACCGCGGGCTCGGCCGGGCCGCGGACGTGTACTCACCCCCATCTCCTCCTCCCGCACCACGTACTGGGCCACCTTGAACGAGCTGAGGTACTCGTTCATGCCCTGCAGCTCCGTGTCCTCCGTCTCGTCCTGATTGCGGTCGAGCAGCCGCTCGATGGCCTTGTCGTCGTAATGGATCACGCTGCTGTCCTCGCCCTCCTTGCTGTCCCCTCCTGCAACGAACCAGGGGCACACGCCTCAGCCAGCTGCGGGGGGCAACCTGGCATCAGACACACACACACACCCCACCACCCGGGGGAGGAAGCCCCGGGGCTCCACCTCCATCCGTGGCTTCGTCCTTGAACAGCTCCTCCGTGCCGAACTTGAGGATGTCGTCCAGCTCCTGTTTGGACATCGAGCCGGTCTTCGAGCCCAGGCCTGGCCGCACGACGAGGTGCGTGAGCATCATTTTCTTCTTCGCCACCTGCGTGATGCGCTCCTCCACCGAGGCCCGCGTCACAAAGCGGTAGATCATCACCTTCTTGTTCTGCCCGATGCGGTGGGCGCGGCTGAACGCCTGTGGGGGGTGGGAAGGGAGGGGGGGATGGGAGCCGCTATCTTCCTCCCTCGCTCTGGCACCCCGGCCCCCAAATACCAGCCAGCCTCTACCCTGCTGCCCAGAAGAGACCCAGAACCAGCCCAAGTTCTAGGAAGTTACGCGCCATGCAAAGTCAGGAGCTGGTAGCGCCTGCCTGTAATCCCGGCCACGTAGGCGGTTGAGACGTGAGGATCGTGATTCAGAGCCAGTGCAGGCAAGAAAGCCTGTGTGACTCTTACCTCTAATGAACCATCAAAGAGGTGGAACTAGAGCTGTGGCTCAAGTGGACCCCCGGAATTCAAGCCCCAGGATCAGTATGTATGTACACACACACACACACACGCACGCACGCATGCACACACACACACACACACACACACACACACACGCACGCACGCACGCACGCGCACACGCGTAGCTTTCTCAACTAATCCCAGAGGGTAGAGCCATCACAAGTTCTAGGGTACCCCTGCTCACCTGAATGTCATTATGGGGGTTCCAGTCAGAGTCGTAAATTATAACGGTGTCAGCAGTGGCGAGGTTGATCCCAAGGCCCCCAGCGCGCGTGGACAGCAAGAAGCAGAACTGCTGAGCCCCCGGGGCTAAGGAAGGAAGCGGAACCCCGTTAGACCAACTCCACACACCACGACAAGACGCAGCCCCGGACCCCACCAGCCAACAGGACACAACTCCTGACCCCACTAATCAACAAGATGCAACCTGACTCCCCAACCAATCAGCAAGACGCAACCCGACTCCAATGAACAAGATGCAACCCAATTCCACCAACCAATCAGCAAGACGCAAGCCCTGACCCCACAGCAATCAAGATGCAACCTGCTTCCACCAACCAATCAGCAAGAGCAACCCGACTCCACCAACCAATCAACAAGATGCAACCTGACTCCACCAATCAGCAAGAGACAACCCGACTCCACCAGCCAATCAGCAAGATGCAACCCGATTCCACCAGCCAATCAACAAGATTCAACCCAACTCTACCCATCAAGATGCAACTCCTGACCCCACCAATCAAGATGCAGCTCCTGATCCACCAATCAAAACGCAAACCAATTCCACCAATGAACAAGATATGAGTCGTGATTCCACCCATGAACAAGACGCACGGAGAACCCCAGAGGAGGCCCGTGGACAGATGCAGGAATCAGCTCGAGAGAGTGGGGAGACAGCCACAGGCTCAGGACTCGGGCACTTCCCTGCAGCTACTGACCAGTGATCACAGTAAGGAAGCCCACAGACACCACCCCAAACAAAGCGGACGAGCAGGGCACGTTCCAATACCATGTCCACCCCACGTGGTGGACAGGGCCTCGCTTCCTGCCAAAATGTCCCACTCAAGCCAAGAGAAAACATCAGACAGAAGCCAATATAACTGATCCACGTTCACCCAGAGAGTCGGTATCAGAAAGGTACTGTGGCTCATGCCTGTAATCCCAGCTACTCAGGAGGCTGAAATATGAGGATCATGGTTCAAAGCCAACCTGGGGAAGACTATCTCCAATGAACCACCAGAATACCAGAAGGGGAGCTGGGGTTCACAGTGGTTAAGAGCACTCACATGGCACAAAAGAGCTCAGGGACAGCACCCCACCTCACCCCCCAAAAAAGAGCTACAAATGAGGATGGGAGGCATGGCTCAAGTGGTAGAGCACCCGCACAGCAAGCACAAGAGTCGAGTTCAAAGCCCAATGCCACCGAGAGGGAAGCCCAGATGGAGGCCGGGCCCGGAGGCTCGGCCTCCCTCTCACCATTGAAGCGGTCGATGGCCTCCTGGCGCATGTTGCCCGTGATGCCGCCATCGATGCGCTCGTACTTGTAGCCCTCGTGCTCCAGGAAGTCCTCCAGGAGGTCCAGCATCTTGGTCATCTGGGAAAGGAGGCGGGTGAGCGGGAGTGTGGTGACAGGCCTTTCCCACCATCACTGTGCCCGGCCAGGCCCGGGCTGGGCCCCAGGCGCCCCCACTGTACCTGGGAGAAGATGAGCACGCGGTGGCCGCCCTCCTTGAGGTTCTTCAGCATCTTCTGCAGCAGCAGCAGTTTCCCCGAGGCCCGGATGAGGGCGCTGCCATCATACATGCCGTTGGGCATCTTCGGGGCCTCCTGCGGGCCGAAACAGAGGGACAGGGGATGAAGGCAAGAGGGCAGGAGCGGTGGCAGCCGGAGGGTGGGCAGGAGGCCGGCGGGACCTACCATGGCCGCCACGGGGAAGAGGTAAGGGTGGTTGCAGCACTTCTTGAGATCCATCACTACGTTCAGCAGCGACACCTGGTTGCCGCCACCTCGAGCGTTGAGGGCCTCAAAATTGCGCGTGAGGATGTACTTGTAGTACTTCCTGTGAGGGCGGACGGGCGGCGGGGAGGTCAGCCTGCAGGAGTCTCAGGGACCCAGCCTCACCGCCGCTGGCCCAGACTTCCAGCAGATCCCACTTTAGGGTCAATGAGGGAGTGGACTAAGCGAGAGCGCTGCGCTACGGGTCCCTGTGCACACGGCTTCTTTACGCCCGGCCTGCTCCTGAATGCAGGGCCCGCGTGAGTTGGAGTGGAGATGGGGAGGGACTGGGAGCCCAGTGTGGACAGATCGACGTCCGTCTGTCTGTCTGTGCTAGCAGGGGTTTGCCCCCCCACTCACTTCTGCATGGGGCTCAGCTCCACGCGCACGATCAGCTCGGTCTTGGAGGGCATGTTCTTGAACACGTCCGCCTTGAGCCGCCGCAACATGTGTGGTCCCAGCATGTCGTGCAGCTTCTTGATCTGGTCCTCTTTGGCAATGTCGGCGAACTCCTCCAGGAAGCCCTCCAGATTGCTTGGAAAAGCGGGTGGGGAGGGAGAAATGAATGAGGGGAAGGGCAGGAGGAGGAGAGCCACGGGGCCCTGGAGGGGCAGACCCACACCACTTACTGGAACCTCTCGGGGGTGAGGAAGTTGAGCAGGTGAAACAGCTCTTCCAGATTGTTCTGCAGGGGCGTCCCGGTGAGCAGCAGCTTGTGCTGCAGCGAGTAGCCGTTGAGAACCCGGAAGAACTGCAAAGCGCGGGGCGAGGCGTGAGACACGGGTTGGGGGCGCCCGCCTGTAATCCCGGCTACTCAGGAGGGCTGAGAACGGAGCAAGATCATGGCTCAAAGCCAGGGCGGGCAGGACAAATTGGTGGGAACAGCCCGAAAGTGGAGCTCAAGAGGGAGACCTAATGTCAGCCCTAAAAACTGAGTCTGGGCCGGGCCGGGGCGCACCTTGGACTGATTGTTCTTCAGCCGATGGGCCTCGTCCACGATGAGGCACGCCCAGTCTATGGAGCCCAGGATGGCCATGTCGATCGTGATGAGCTCGTAGGACGTGAGCAACACGTGGAACTTCACGGAGGCCTCTTTCTGCACGGGGGAGGCGCATGCGTGTTAATGCGCGGCCTGGCCGGTCCCGCGGCCCCGCCCACAGCCACGCCCCCGCGAGGCCCCACCCCACCCACAGCCCCGCCCCGCGATGCCCCGCCCCGCGATGCCCCGCCCCGCGATGCCCGCCCCGCGATGCCCCGCCCCGCGATGCCCCGCCCCGCGAGGCCCCGCCCCCGCGAGGCCCCGCCCCCCGCGGCTACCTTCATGCGCGAGGCCTTCTTGCCTCCGCGAATGGCGTTGTCCTCAAAGGAGAACTCGTTCTCGCGGATGATGGCGCGGCTGTCCTTGTCGCCCACATAGGTGACCACGTACATGTCGGGGGCCCACATCTCGAACTCCCGCTCCCAGTTGATGATGGTGGAGAGCGGGGCGCTCACGAGGAAGGGGCCTTTGGAGTGGCCCTGGAGGGGGAGGTGGTGGTGGTGAGCGCCCGGCCTCCAAAGCCCGGCCTCCTCGGCCCGGCCTCCCCACGCAGCCCCATCACCCCCATTGACCGGTCTCTAGCCACGGGTCGCGGCGCACCTCCTTGTAGAGCGAGTAGAGGAACACAGCAGTCTGTACCGTCTTCCCCAGCCCCATCTCATCAGCCAAGATGGTGTCGGTGCCCTGCGCCCAGGAGAAGCGCAGCCAGTTCAGGCCCTCCATCTGGTACGGGTGCAGGGTGCCGCCCGTGGCGTCCAGGTACTCGGGCTGCCGCTCGTACTTCACCGTGGGCTGAGGAGGCAAGGATTCCCTTTTGGCCAAAGGCATCAAGGAGTGCACGCCTGGAGTCCCAGCGACTCAGGAGGCTGAGATCGGGAGGATCGCAGTTCAAGGCCAGCCCGGGCAGGAAAGTCGGTGAGATTCTGATCTCCCATGAGCCACCAGAAAACCAGAAGTGGCGCTGTGGCTCAAGTGGTAGAACCCTCCCCTCGAGAGGAAGAGCTGAGGGACAGCGCCCAGGCCACCAGTTCAAGACCCACGACCAACAAGAAAGTAAGATGGCGGCGTCGTGTGTGACTCACATCGACCGTGGGCGTCTCGGGCGGCCTCTCCAGCTTCCTCAACTTCACCTTCTTCAGCTTCTTGCCAGGCCGGCCTTCCTCGCCCCGCATCAGCTCCCTGAGGAAGACGAGACATGCCCACGTGCCCTGGGGCCTGGCGACATCACCCGCTGGCGGGAGGCGTGGCCCAGCGGCCCAGCACCGCAGCAGCAAGTGCATTCCAAGCCCAGCTCGGCACAAAGGCACCGGCCGCCCACCTGTGGTTCCAATAGCTCTGCTTGAACAGGTCGTAGTCCTGGATCTCCACGTCCTCGCTCTCCCACGACGCCTGGTCGTAGGGGAGGTCGCGCCACTTGATCAAGTAGTGCACGTGGCCCTTCTTGTCCACGCTGCCAAGTGGGGAAGGAAAGCCCATCAGCCGGACTCAAACGCACACCCAGGGCCAGGCTGGTACTGCAGGCGTGCGGCACTGGTGCTGGCCCGCGTGCTCGAGTGGGGGTCAGGGCGCGGGGGTACCTGTGGTTGAGAATCCGGTGGATCATCATCCACTCGGGCTTTATCCCGTAGCGGTAGAAGCGCTCCTCCATCTCCGCGAACTTGGGGTCCTTGTTCTTCCGCTTGCGGCTCTTCTCTTCGTCGCCGCCGAAGTCTCCGGAAGGCGGCTCGTCCATGTCGTTCTTGCGCTGGTAGTTGCGGAACATCACCTGGCAGTGCAGCTCCAGCTGGGGGGCGAGGGGGGGGGTGTTAGCGTCTGTGGGGGTCTTGTGGACACAGGGACCACACACATCCCCCCACCCCGGGTCACCACCCCATCTCACCTGCAGCTCCGACACCCAGGAGCAGTGCCAGTAGGACATGCCCTGCCACTTGACGAAGAACTGTCGCTCCGGCCGCCCCTCCAAGGGCTTGGGGGCGGGCGTGCTGGGGTCGGCGTCCGGGGGCCGCGGCACGGGCGTGGGGGACGGCGGCTGACCCCACTTCCAGATGAGGATCTTCTGCACTTTGCCCTTCAGAGCTGGACACTGAGAGGAAGAGAGTTCAAATCCACGGGGGTGAAGGGCACGGGTCCCGGCCTCAGGGAAAAGGCTCCCGCCTGTAATCCCGGCTGCTCGGGAGGCGGCTCAGAGCCAGCGGGCGGGAGGGGCGCCGGGGCGCTCACCGTGCAGCGCGGGCACAGCCACTCCCCGTTGGGGATCTCGGGCAGCGGCGGGTTGAGGCAGTGGATGTGGTAGGACGAGGGGCAGGTGTCGCAGCACAGCAGCTCGCCGCCGTCCTTGCACACGCGGCAGAACTCCATGTGGTGGTCGTCCTCCTCCTCGGGGTCCCCCCCGACCTCCTCCAGGATCTCCTCGCCCTCCGAGTTGTCATCTTTGGCCTCCCACTGGATGCCCTCCTTCTCCTGCAGGACCGGAGCAGAGCGCGCCATGAGTGCAGCCCCGCCCCCCGCAGCTGTTCTGCGCGTGCGCCCCAGGGGCTCCCAGGTGGACAGCCCAGCCCCGCCCCCAAGAGCTCCAGCCCCGCCCCCGTGGACTCCCAGCCCCGCCCTGCCCCTCAGACTCCCAGACCCGCCCCTTGAATTCCCAGCTCCAGACCCGCCCCCGCGGGCTCCCAGCCAGCCCCGCCCCTCGGCCTCGCAGCCCCGCCCCCATGGACTCCCAACCGGCCCCGCCCCCGTGGGCTCCCAGCCAGCCCCGCCCCCTCGGCCTCCCAGCCAGCCCCGCCCCAGGGCCGCGCGGCCCCGCCCCCGTGGGCTCCCAGCCAGCCCCGCCCCTCGGCCTCGCGGCCCCGCCCCCGTGGGCTCCCAGCCAGCCCCGCCCCCTCGGCCTCGCGGCCCCGCCCCCTCGGCCTCCCAGCCGGCCCCGCCCCCGGGACTCACGCAGTGGGGGCAGCTCCACTTGCCCTCGGGGGCCTTCTCCATGTCGGGGTCCAGGCACACCATGTGGTAGGCTCGGGGGCACGTGTCGCACAGGATGATCTCGCCGCCTTGCTGGCACACCTCGCAATAGTCCTGGTGGTCTGTCTCATAACCATCCATAGCAGTCACCTCCTCCTCGCCTGGGCAAGGAAGAGGGGAGCCCAGTCACCAGAGCACACCCCGCCGCCCCCACCCCGATCTCCAGAGGGGAGATGCTGCACCCCGGGGCCGCCCCCCGGGCCCGCATGCCACCGACAGCACATCGGACGAGACTCGCACCTTTCTTCTTCTTCTTGGTGGTGCGCAGCTTCTTGCGGCTGCGGCTGCTGCGGCTGGTGGAGCCGTCCGACACCGAGTAGCTGTTGATGCTGGCGTCGTCGAAGTCCGACTCCACGTCCAGGTCATCGTCCTCACTCTGGCGGGAGGGGGAAGGAGAGGGTGAAACGCGCAGGCGTGGAGGGAGAAGCGGGAGGTGCGAGCCGGGGCCAGCTCGACGGGGGGGGGGGGGGGGGGGGGGGGGGGGGACGACGCATGCGCACACATACTCATACACACGCATGCGCCCACGAGAATGGACGCGCGCCCACGTGTCCGGGCACGCGTACACGCATACGCATGCACGTATATTCATACATAAGAACGCACTTGCACATGTATTCACACATGCGTGCACACACGGATGCATGCACACCCTTATGTGCGCAGATGTATTTGTGCAAGCATATGTACAGTCGCACATGTATTCACGCACACATGCACACGTATGCACGCACACCTGTATGCACACGTGTATTCGTGCACACGCACACATCTGTATGCATGCGCTGTATTCCTGCACACGCATGCGCACACCATATGCACCCACGCACACACGCATGCACACAAGCCCCGCCTTCTGCCCAAAGGCGCCTCTCACCGAGGACCTCTTCCGCTTGGAGCCAAAGCCTCCCAGCTTGATCTTGAGGGGAGCCACTTTCTTGGGCTTCGGCTTCTTGGCATCGGGGACGCGGGGGCTGCCCTTGGGCTTCCTCCGCGCATTGGGACCTAAAGTGCGAGCGGATGGACGTCAGTGATGGGGGACGGCGGGGTGGCGGCGGGGCTGCCTGCGCCCGGACCCCCCTCCTGCCCGCGGGACGCCCGTCACCTTTGCCCTCCTTGGTCTTGGCCTTGCGGATCGGCACCTCCACGGGCGGCGGCGGCGGGGCCACCTCGGTGGCGGCCACCATGCTCTCCACCACGGCCACCGCAGCCGCGGCGGCCGCCGCCACGGACGCCCCCGAGCTGCCCTTGAAGGGGTTGTTGGTGCTGAACTCCCGCCACTTGGCCCCCAAGACCATCATCATCTTGGAGACGGCGATCTTGGGGTTTTTGGCGGCGATGAGGGGTCTGATGAAGTAATGGAGAGAGAGGGGGTTCAGAGAGAGACGCAGCAGCAAGGGGACACTCGGGGAGGCCTCTGCCCCCCCCACACCGGGCCCCCGAGTTTACCGGACAAACTGGCTGAAGGCCTTGTAGTTGGTGAGGGTGCGGTAGTCCTCCTCCGAGAACACGTGGTCGATGTCCTCCATGCCCCAGTCCTCCAGGAGCTGAGCCGAGGACTTGGGCTCCTAGGCGGAAGGACCAGTCAGCGCCCCATCACCCAGCAAGGGAACCCGGGATGGGGTGTAGGGCGGGGGTCTAAGGGAGCAGCCAGGAAATCACTAAAAACAAGGGCAAAGTGCTGCGAGCATAAACTCTCGGCTACTCAGGAGGCTGAGAGCTGAGGATCACAGTTCAAGGCCAGCCTGGGCTTCTGCAGTCCTGAGACTCTTATCTCCAGTGAATCTCCAGAAAGCCAAAAGTGGCGCTGGGGCTCCAATGGTAGAGTGCTTGCCTTGACTGGAAAAAGCTGGGAACAGCGCCAAGGCCCTGAGTTCAAGCCCCAGGACCAGCATCAAAACAATAAAAAAGCGGGTGCCAGTGGCTCCCGCCTGTCATCCCAGCTACTCCAGGAGGCTGAGATCTGAGGATCCCGGTTCAAAGCCAGCCCAGGCAGGAAAGTCTGCGAGACTCTTAATGAACCACCAGAAAACTGGAAGTGGCGCTGTGGCTCAAGTGGTAGAGCGCCCGCCTTGAGCTGAAGAGCTGAGGGACAGCGCCCAGGCCCAGAGTTCAAGACCTATGACACACACACCCCCCCCAAAAAAAAAGAGAGACAGTGTCATGTCTGGGAAACCCAGGTGAGAAGTGGATTCTGGGGTGACAGATGGGCCAGGCACCTTGGAATCATCATCATCGTCTTCTTCCTCTTCCTCCTCCTTCCGCTTGGACTTGCTCTTCTTCTCTTTCTTGGGCCCCAGCTTCTTCTTCTTCTTCTTGCCTGGCGTGTAGTCGCTGCCCTCGCTGTCCGAGCGCAGGGCCACCTCCTCCTCCTCCTCCACAAACTCCGGGCCCTCCCCAGAGCTGTCCCCCGGCTGCCGGCACAAGAGCAAACGCTGGAGCAGGGGAGGGGGAGGGAGACACAGACCGCTCGCTGCACACAGGCCGACCTCAGGACCAGGCCCCCAGGCCCAGGGCAGGGACCAGGGACCGGCGCCGTCAGCCCTGCGCCCTGTCCCCGAGCGCCTGCCTGCCGTTCCTGCCTTCCGCCCTTCCCTCACCCACTCACCTCCTTTTTTTGGCGCTTGCTCTTCGGGATTTTCGGATCCCGAGGTTTCTTCGGCTTCTTCTTCTTCTTCAGCTTTGGAGTCTCTGCTTCTGACAAGTCTTCTTCAGGATCGTCTTCGTTGTCTGCATTCACAAAGTCAAGTCAGAATAGCACAAGGTGAGGGGTGGGAAGGTGGCTCAGTGGTAGAGTGCTCGCCTGGCATGCATGAAGCCCTGGGTTCGATTCCTCAGCACCACACCGAAAAAGCCAGACATAGTACTTTGTGGTTCAAAGGGTAGAGAGTTAGGAAGATGGGCTCTGGTGGTTCACACCTGTCATCCCAGCTACTCAGGAGGCTGAGATCTGAGGATCCCGGTTCAAAGCCAACCCAGGCAGGAAAGTCTGTGAGACTCTTACGTCCAATGAACCACCAGAAAACCCGAAGTGGTGCTGTGGCTCAAGTGGTAGAGCGCCAGCCTTGAGCTGAAGAGCTGAGGGACAGCGCCCAGGCCAAGTTCAAGCCCCAAGACTGACCAAAAAAACAAAAAAGCATCTCAGGGATGGCGCCTAGGCCCGGGGTTCAAGCCCCAGAAGTGGTGGTGCAAGAAAAAGACAAAAAGATAAAGGTGAGGAGACATGGGCCCTCTCCCCTTCTCACCCCAGATCCCTCTATAGAGAACCCCTAATCCTTTCCACGGAAGATGCAAGCCAGGACGTAACCAGACAAAGAGAGAGTTGCATGAAACCCACCCCAGCCCCCCCCCCACCTCCCCACCCCCATCGGGCAGCCGGCCACCAACTTGGCTCAACCACACCGCCCAGGGTCCAACACCCGTCCATCAATCAGAGGAGGAGCGGGGAAGGTCCCCAGTGTGGCAGGTACTAAGCACAAAACATCTAATGCTCGCCCCACTGGAAGAATGCTAGTTTGCAAGAGCCTGGCCACCAACTCTACCCTTCCCTAACTCCTTTGAAGTCATCACTGCTCAAAAACCACACACACACACATGCACAAGTTCAGGTGGCAGCCCAAGCACACACACCCACTTTCTAACACATTTTCCTTTCTCCATCTCCAGTGCAGCCTTCTCGCCAGCTTCTCCTAGGTCAGCAGCCTCTTCTCCCCAGGGGCCCAAATCAGCCCAGCTGTCACCATCTCCCCCCCCCACACCACCCCCCCCAAATCCTCCTCCCATCTGGCGTCCACCTCCTCCCGCACACACAAAGCCTGGCTACCTCTGGAAGCGCCTAGGCAGGGCTAGGGGGGAAGAGGGGAGCAGAACCGACAGGCACACCTCCTCTCCTCTTCCCTAGCCACCCCCGCCCAGGGAGGAGGAGGAGAGGGGGTGCTGCAGAAAAGGGAGTGGAGAGGAATCGGGCCTCACCCAGGGAGACGAGGGAAAATGGCTTCTGACCGCAGCAGCCAGCCCAGGGCACCCTGCTGCCAACAGAGGGGACAGGAAGTGGCAGGGAGGGGGCGGGGCTACAGGGAAAAGGATCTCCCCCCCCCCCCACACACACACACAGAGTTCCCAAGTGATTGTGGGCTCAGGTGCAAACGCGCCCCCCCCATCTCTAACACGGATTCTGGTGTGTGACCTGGTTTACACCCCAAACGTCCTAGGGCAGAGAAGCCCAGGATCCACACAAAGAGCAACAGCTCCTATTTTTCTTTTTTGGTGCCTGAGCTTTCTCAAGCCAGGCTGGGGGTGCTCTACCGCTTGAGCCACACCTCCACTCGCAGCTCTTTGGCTGGCTGATGGGAGATGAAGAGTCTCACAGACTCTGCCCTGCCTGGGGCCAGCTTCAGACCTCAGTCTTCAGACCTCAGCCTCCCTCCGAGTCGCTAGGATGACAGGCGCCCGGATGTCCCTCTACCTCACCTTCAAACCATCACAACAACTCAAAGGCTCAGGAGCACTGTGATCAGAGCAGAGAGTGGTCTCCCCCAAAACTGAAGATGCCCGGAAGACTTAGTTTAAGGCACGGAACCCACAGAAAGTCTTGGGCTAGGTAGATCATCACCTCGCCAGACAAGACACCTGGTGGCACGTGGAAATCATGCTCACCCCCAAGAGAGGCCTCGTTACCGGGGTGGCAGCAGCCCCCCCCCAACTCCACATCCTGACCTCTAGAACTGGCTCTTCCGGTCCCCCATCAGGCCCCTCCCACCCCCTGGGGCCAGAACGCCGCCGGCATCGCTCCAGAAAGACTACTTTTCTAGATTTCTCCCCCGACCATCCGTGTCACCCCCAATCAGAGGCGTGGAGGGGACAGGGACGGGTCCGAGAGGGCCCAGGGGCCCCTCAACTCCGGCCATCAGCAAACTGGCTGGAGGAGAGGCAGCCGGGGGCGCGGGGCAGGGCGGCCCCGGCGAATGGGAAAAACTGGGTCACCCCGGCGCCCGATCCGTGGGGTGGGGGGTCCCTGGGGTCCCCCAGGCAGCACCCCATCCCGGGCTCCTCCCAGAGAGGCCGGGAGCACGGGGCGCCCGCCCGGACCCCTCCGATCATCGGGGCGCCGTCCCCCGCCTCCCCGCGCGCCCGGCCTCCAGCCCGAAGTTTCTCGGGAAAGTTCCCTCCGAGGGCGGCAGAGGCCGGGGCGCTGGACGCGGCTCCGCCAGACCCGGGGCCCGGCTCCCCGCTCCCGGAGACAAAGGCCGCCAGCAGGTGCAGGCCGGGAGGCCGGGCGGGGCCGAGGCCGGCCAGATGCCATGGGGGGGCCGAGGCCCGGACCCCACGCACACGGCGCCCCAAAGCGCATCGGGGCGCCGAGAGGCCTCCGGAGGGGGGAGAGGGGGAGGCTCCGTCCGCTCCCCAAGGAGGGAGCCGCAGGGTGCCCTCCCTCCCCTCGCCCCCCCCCCCCCCCCCCCCCGCGCGATTCAAACTTCCTCCGCGGGAGCCGGTGCGGCAGGACGGACAGACGGACGGACGGACCGGCCGACAAAGTTCCCTCTTCCGGGTCTGGCCGCCCCCCCGCCCGCCCCGCGGGGCGCCGCGGCCCCGGTACCTGGGTGTGGCGCGGGCAGGCTGTGGTTGAGCAGCGCGTCCATGTCGTCGTCGTCGCTGGCCGCCGAGCAGGGGGACGGGGAGCCCAGCCCCGACGCCATGCCCGCCGCCTTCCGCTCCCGCGCGGGGCTCGGGGCCCGGCGCCCGCCGCTGCCGCTGCTCCGCCGGGGGCCGAGTCACTGCGGGGGGGGGGGGGGTCGGTGACGCGCGCACCCCCCGCACCCGACCCCGCACCCGACCCCGCACCCGACCCCGCACCCGACCCCGATCCCGCACCCGACCCCGCACCCCGACCCCGCACCCGACCCCAACTTTACTTCCACACTCCCGCAGAGAGGAGGACGGGGGGGGGGGAGCAGCCCGGAAACGGGGTCCCCAGGAAGAACCCCCCCCGGGAGGGGGAGGGGAGGGCGCCCCCGCGCGGAGCCGGGCGGGAGGGGGGGTCCGAGCGGGACACAAGGTCACGGGGAGCGGGGGTGCGGGCGCGCCCCGGGCCCGGGGTCCCCCGGCCGGGCAGACCCCCGCCCCCCCAGCCCGGCCTCCGGGGCGCCCCCCCAGCCCGGCCTCCGGGGCGCCCCCGCTGACCCGCGGGGGTGCGGGGGTCCCGCCACCCCGAGGCGGGGGGGGGCGCCACGTGCCCCCGGGGGGGCCGGGCAGGGTGGGAGCCCGCGGGGGGGGACCCCTCCCGACCCCACCCCGGGGAGGGGGCAGCGGCCGCGCCCGGCCGGTGGGGGCGGGGGCCCGCGCGGGGGGACAGGGGTGGGGGTGACCCCGGGGCCCGGCGGGCCGTGGGGGGCGCCCCGACGCCGACCCGCGCCCTCCTCACCCCGGAGCCGCCGCGGGGCGCGCTGGGTCCGGCCCGGTGTCACTCCCGCTCCGGCTCCTCCTCGCCGCGGCCGAAGGGGGGAAAATGGCTCCGGCTCCGGCGTTGCCTCTTAAAGGGCCCGAAACACCGGCCGGGAAATCCCACCGCACAGGCCCCGCCCCCCCCGGACAGCCCATAATAACCTCCACCAACTCCAACCCCCCCCCTCCCCTCCCGCCACCCTCCTCCCAGGTCTCCCGGGCAACCCCCGCCCCCTCGTCGCTCAGGCAACCGCTGGCCACGCCCCCTCCGAGCGCGCGCGTGTCACCCGGGCAACCGCCCACCTCCTGGCCATCCCATAATACACACGGACACCCCAGCCCCGCACTGCCCCCCCCCCCCCGCGTGCCCTCTCCGGACACACCGATGCCAGGGCGGGGGCGGCGGGGGCTGCTGACCTCTTCCTCTCGGGGACCTCCTGCAACTCACCCCGGTCCTCCTCCTCGGGCATCCCATAATAGCCACCCCTTTGCCAACTTCTTCACTCTTGGCCCTCAAGCCAACATCCCATAATAACTCCTCACCCCTCCCTCCCCACGGCCATCCCATAATAAGCGCCCCTCCCAGCCCTTCAGCCTCCTATCCCATAATACTCGCCCCATCCCCCACAGACATCCCATAATAACTACCCTTCATCCACCCCCAGTTTGACATCCCATAATAGTCAGAAACTCGCAGGGCTCTTCCCCCCCCCCCCCATACTACAACAACGGACACTCGGCCTCCTCCCACACACATCCCGTAATAATCAGTCTCCCACTTTCTATACGGACATCCCATAATAGCCAACCCCCAAGAGCTGCCCTGGGCCTGGAACCTTCTTCTCCCGCTGTCCCCAGAGGTAAGCCACCTCTGGAGCTGAAGCAGCCCACTTGTCACCCCTCCGGCGGACACCTAACGCCGGGGGGAGGGAGCAAAATGAGATGCATCCCATAATAATTTTACTCCGCCCACAACCCCGACATCCCATAATGGCAAGGAGCCCAGGGTCAACCAGACATATGCCACGAGATGCCCGGCGCTGGCCGGTGTCACATCCCATAATGCTTCCTGTGCATTCCTCCACACGGTGCCCATCCAGCCGCATCCCATAATGCCCCCCTCCGGTCCCACCCCCTCCCCCAGCTGTCAATCTCCTCCCCACACCCGGAGCAGGAGGCCGGGTGGGGCGGCGGCTGCCCACGCTGCGGCGTCCCCACCCCTGCGCCCATCCACCCACCGGTGCACACCTGATCTCCAGGCCTAGGCCTCCCGCCGGCCTGCGGCTCCTCTGGTTCCCTCCCCTCACCCCCTGGCCCTGGGGGCGCCCGACCTGGGACTCCCCTGCACCCCACCCAGGCTGCCTGTCCATCGGTGTTGAGGTGACCCGGCCGACGCCACGCTGATCAAACCAATGAGAACCATCTGCAGAGACTTTAACTCAACCCGCAGCACCCCGTGCTAAGGTGCCCACGGGCGGGGAACCAATCAATCCTGGGACCCCTGGAATGGACCGGCTTATCCCCGCACCCCCAGAAGTGAAGGGAAGATCCTTCTACCTGCACGCCCAGAGCTGACCCCCTGGGTCTCCTGTTCACTATTGCTCACATTTCAGGCAGCAGATTCCCACAGAGCTGGACAGCAGAGAGAATACCACGAAGACACACGCGTGTGTGCCTCCCATAAACCAACATGCCAGATGGAGAGAGAACTGGATGGAGCTCCGGGAGGTCCCAGGCTAGAGGCTGGAAAGTGATGGGAAAGGATTCATGGGTGAAGACTAGGCTAGATCATCTACCAGGCCTAGTAGTGCAGGCCTGTAATCCCAGTACTGAAGAGGCCAAGGTAGAGGGGAACTTCACAGCCAGCCTGGGGTGCACGATGAGACCAGACGCTATCTCAAGAAAACACATCTACGTTTGTTTAAATAGATACCTATAAGTATATATGTATAGACATATGTATATATATTTATTACTAATGTCCTAGGTCTTGGGATGCCAGCAAAGAGAGAGGAGGAAGAGGGAGGGGGAATAGAAAATGGGAAAGGAAGTGGAGCCGAGAGGAAGGCGAGCAGGGAGGAGAAAGACAAGATGAAAGTTGATCTCCTCCTATCTGTTCCCTACAAAGGGATTTCATGGGGAGAATCCTATCAGGCGCGCTAAGTTCTTCCTTCTGGAGACTTCCTTGGCCTACCACGGTTGTTTGGTTACCCAGCCCCAGCTGGCCTCGCACTCACGATGATCCTGCCGGTTCCGGGATTACAGGGCCCCGCTCCCAAGCTCGGCCTCTTCTTTTTGCCCTTTCTTGGTTGATTTCGGGGCGGGGCGGGGGGGGGGGGGAACCATCCTGGGGCTTGAACTCGGGGCTTTGGGGTCCTGCTTGGCTCAAGGCCTGGCCCTGGAGCCACAAGGCCACTTCCAACGGCGTTGTGCTGATGGGCGGGATCTCCAGGAGCCGGGATTACCGGGAGCGGCGGGTGGGGGGCTGCACCCTCCGCCTGGGGTCACCCAGACCCGGGAACCCGGGAAGTCAGACAGGCAGCCGGAACTTCCGCACGGGGAGGGCGTCTTCCCGACAGGAAGTAGACCAGGAAGACCTCGACGCCGTCTCTCACTTCTGGGGGTGGGGACAGGGCCAGGATCCACCCTGGAGACCTGGCCGGGAAAACCTGAGGTCTCCACTAGGCCAGAAAGCACTTGATCGATCCATCGATCCTTCGATCGCTGGATCGATGGACCGAGGGGCTTGAAGTCAGGGCTGGCGCTCTACCCCTTGAGCCGCGGCGCCACTTCCGGTTGTCTGGGGGTTCATGGGAGATCAGAGTCTCACGGGACTTTCCTGCCCGGGCTGGCTTCGAACCGGGGTCATCCGATCTCGGCCTCCAGAGAAGCTGGGACGCCAGGCGTGCGCGCCCGCGCGGGGCTGCGCGTGCGTGCGTGCGCGTGCGTGCGCGTGCGTGCGCTCTCATCCCTCCCCGTCATCCCCTGATGAACACAAGCGGGGGGGCTCTCCAGCCCCCACCTTAGACCCGGATGGAGCCCCGGGCCTGCTGGGCCTCCGTCCCTGGCCCTCGCCCCGCGTGGGGAAGGGGTCCTGGGGTCACCGCCGCGGGTCACCCCGTCCCTGGTGCCCCCCAGCCCGGCGCGCACCGCGGACCCCTGGGTCGGTGCTGGGGTTCGGGGGCGCGCGGGCCGGGGTCAGATGACCAGGGGGAGCTGGTCTCGGGGTCCCCCCCCCCCGTCCCCTACCCCGGACAGCCGCACCCGGCTGGGCAGGGCACATCCCATAATAACCCTCCTCACCGCCCCCCCCCCGCGGCCATCCCATAATAGCCACCCACAGGAGACATTCCGCGGCGGCCGCCCCCTCCCGGCGGAGGGAGCGCCATCCCATAATAGCCGGCCGCCGGCTCCGTGGCGACGGCGGGGGAGGAAGTGGGGGAGGGGAGCCCCTCCGTGGGGCGGGGGGGGGGGGTGCAGGTGGACGGCGGCGCCCGGGGTCAGCGCCCGCGCCCCGGGCCGCCGGTCCCGGGGGGCCCGGCCCGGGCCGGCCGAGGAGACGCGGGGCGCGCGTGCGGGGATGGATCTCAGGTGTTCCCCCGGGGGCCCCGGCGGGGAGGACGCGAGGAGGAGGTGAGGGGGGTCGGGGTGACCGGGAAGGGGGGTGCTGGTGGGAGGAAGGGCTCCCCGGGCCCCCCCTCCCCGTGCTGCACCACCACCATCCCATAATGATCCCCCGGCCCCCTCCCACACGCGACATCCCATAATATCTCCCGGAGAAGCCGTCCCCGCCGTAGGTACAAAGAGCCATCCCATAATAAGCTCCCCCCCCCCCCCCCCGGCGTGCCCCCCCAGTCACATGCAGCCGGTGCCATCCCCCGCCGCTCCCCCCCCACCCCCGCCGGCCACTGAAGGCCTCGCCAGCCCATAATACTCCCGCCTCTGGTCGCAGGAGGCCTCCAGCCCATAATACTCCCCGCTACCACCACCACCACCCCCGCCCCGCACCCCCTTCCTCCCGCCGCCTCCACTTGGAGCCGGGCCCTCACCAGCCCATAATACTCCACACACACACACCCCCTCCCCTGTCTCCGAAGGCTGCTCCAGCCCATAATACTCTCCCCTGTCTCCTAAGGCCTCTCTCGCCATCCCATAATACTGCCAGACGCCTGACCTGTGGGCCAAACCCCAGCCCGGCGTCGTCGTCGCCGGTCGCGCACACAGCCCGGCCTGCCTGCTGGCCCTCCTCCCCGCCCGGCCCGGCCTGGCCGGCCTGCCCGGGCCGCCGCCT